TTCATCAACATGAAACCTCAATAGGAAAGTAAACCTTTACTGTAAAGTAATGTTGCTGCTCATGCACCTGCTTATCAATAGGGAAAAACAGAATAACACAAGATAAAGATAACAGAATGCGTTCTTCCAAGGCTCATTTTAGCTTTTCAAGTACCAAACTCATTTTTGAATTAAAACAAATAGCTTAATGACCTCAAAATCTAAATGTGACAATTGAGGCTTACATTTTTCTTTTCTTTTTTCTGAGATAAGAAACAAAGACTATACTCAATCTAAAGAATGAAAATTATAAACTGCACCCCTAAAAGAAGTATAACACTTTAGAACTCATTCCTCTTGAAATGGTTCTAATTAATCTATATAGTCAGGGTCCCGGCTTTAAGCTTCATTCCTACTTGTATCTGACAGATCGAAGCTTAATGGACAAAAATTAAATAAATAATAAACTGCATTATAAAAATAAAATAAGAAACGAAAAATTTGACTGAACATGGTGAACATTGCCATAATATATAAGTTACATATATATATAAGTGTGAATGTGTGCGTGAAAAAAGCTGTCATCAAAGAGCAAACCTGATTTAAAGAATTAGCAGAAGCTGCAACCATCATGGTACCAGCACATGTCCAACAAAGTCCAGAAAAATCAATGGCATGGCCACTTCCAAGAACAAATCCAGTTCCAGAAGTTGCAACAACTAGCATGCTGGATTAAAAGTGAAAAATTTGTAAGACAAAATCCAAATGACAAAAACTTCACAAGCACCAGTATACTAGTTGTGGAAGAAAATGAATTGTTTTTGTAGTCTAGTTTTCATTGTTTTACTGTTTAAGGTGGACAACTTGTCCACCAAAATTGTAATGTTGTGTAATTGAAATAAAATTTTGTTTCTAATAAAAAATTACACATACTAAAGATTCACCCCCCACTATTATAATTCTCTTCTTCCAAAATGATACCATTTTTACCATATCAAAGAAGTAACAAAACATCAATAAAAAATTCTGTAACAGCGATCAAAGAATCACGTTTTATAGAATACAATTACGCAATGTTTTCTTTTACTCTTCTATTGCTACATAAAAAGGACTGAATAATTAACAATTTGAATCAGAACAAACACTACCCAACTTCACAATCAGTTTCAAAAAATTATAAATAAAAACCCAGAAATGCCATTTTCAAATTAATAGAAATGAAAAGAATGAGAATTTCGTGTAAATGTGTACCTGAGGCGAGCTTTGGAGAGCTCCCAATAGCAGCGACCATAGTGGCGAGCCCAGTACGAAGCTTTGGAGGCCCCAGACGCGAGATCAACAGCAGTAGCCGCCGAGAGGGCTCGGAATCCATCGGGGCGCTGAAACCCTAGCTTCAGAGAATCTGAAGGTGAAGGTGAGGGGGAGTAAGAGTAGGATTGGGAGAAAGAGTGAGAGAGCAGTGGCGGTCGAGCGACGTCTTTCGCTGCCGAGGAGGAAATGGAAGAGAGGTGCAGTGAGTTGTTGGATATTACGAGCTTGGGCGAGAATCTCAGCGAGTTCCTCCACATCTTCTCGTCAATTGAGAAAGAGCGAGACAAGAGGAAGAAGAAGAAAAAAGAAGTCGACAATCGTTTTTTTTTTTTTTTTTTGTTTTGTTTTTTTTTTTTTGAAGTTGACGTTTTCTAAAGGCCGTGCAGCTTACCTGAGCCCGTTTCTTCTAAGGGCTCTTTTGATATCGCCCATTAGATGAATCCAACGGCACAAAAACTGACTTATCGTACACTTTTTTTTTTTTTTTTCTTTTTTTTTTTTTTTTTTTTTTTTTTTTTTTTGATCGCACATCTTTTGATACCAAATTATGTGTGTATCTTTTTTTTTTCCTTTAGAAATATGCTTTGTTCTTTTCTGTAAAGAAGCCAAAAAAGGGGCACAAGTAACATAGAAGAAAAGAAGACAGAGCCATAGATATTCAATGGTCGCTCATACCGAACTGTATATCCTGAACCTGAAGAAATGAAATCGATTGGGTTATTGGCAACCAGGTCTCACCACTTCAATGTCATGTAGTAAGCCCAATAAAAAGGTTAGAACCCTAAGCAAGCAAAAGGCCCCACTATGAAATGCAACCTGTTGGCCGATAATATCATGTCATGCCACACATAAGAGTCTTATAGATCAGGTGGTTAAGAACATTTCCCCGAACATCCTAAGTCTTAGGATCGATCTCTCTAATATCACTTATATTGAAAAACAAAACAAAAAATCATGCCACACCGCAGGCGATGAAGTGTTATCTATCTTTCTGCCATTCTATGCAAAGATTCATGAATTAAAATCCAAAAGTGGTGCATTTAGGCCGTTTTTCTTGTTTGGGAGTTAAACTAATCTGTGCCCTTCTCCCTCTGCATATTCTTTAAAGTTTCATAAGCTTGGATTCAACAGAAACAAACACACAAAATGAAGCTTCCAAAATCTTTCTAATAGTAGGAAGGAACAGGGCAAGAGGTATGCAGCCTTCCAAAACTAAGTTCAAGCAACTTTTCAATCAGCTGTACCATTTAGGTCTCTTGCCTGAACCCACCAAGTAGATTCAATCTGGTAGTGCCATAAGTCATAGGTCCAGCAGAAACTTCACTAAGGGATTTATGAGGATAAAAAAATATCAACAACATTGCCCATGTATATTAGGTAGAGCAAAATCAAAGTCTCCAAAGATTAGCATGATGGCAAAGGTTTGTCTAATTAGTCCTTAATGCCCATTACAACGTCGCCGATTGCACTCTCATGATGCTCACAAAATAACGAACTCTAATAAAATAAAAAATAACATATGACATAAATTAGTGGATATATCTGTATGTGTTTATGCGAAACTACATCCCTGCCATAGTCTAATCTTCACTAATTATTTCTTAATCTAAACAAATTCATTTACTCACTAATTATGAATTCCCGGCTAGTCATCATTCCTTTATCAACTTAAAAAAATCTTACATGCATTGATGTCAAAGTACATCCATGCAGCATTGTACTTGCTGTCATGTCCACAGGCCACTACTTGAGGAGCATTAGCCAATGGTGCTAGCATGCATATATGAATCTTCTTCTGCTTAAATGAAAGGTCAGCCAGATTTCCGTGCAGAAAATTCCCACAAGCATGTCAAAATGGTCATTTCAGAGCTTCCCTAATGGCGGCAGCTATGGCAGGGGTTGGCTCTGGTGTTGGTATCAATCCTGCAGAAATGGAACCAGCAAAGCAGAGAAGTTAGAATCATATCCAATTTCTTTTGCTTCATTACAAATTTACCACACAAAGGATATATTTACAGCTCCATGGTTAGCTCCCATACTATAGAGTACATAAAATCTGTCAAGAAAATTTGAAATACCATCAAAGCACTCAGTCTGGGGAATTGAAACTTGCTTCCATGAAATCACTTCATAAACATGTGGAATCAAGAACAGGAAACATAATCACTAGTATAGCTAGAAAAACCAAATACAAAAACCAACACGTACATGGAAAAAAACTGAAGAAATGAGACTTGAAAATCACAAAATGACAATTTGGGAGCTGAGAGATAGTGAGAGTGAGAGTGAGAGAGTCGGTGAGTGCGAGAGGTTTTTTTTTTTTTCTTGAACATAGCTAAGAAATAAAGATGCATGGCAGCAGACCAACAAAAAATAGCGTATAGCAGAACTCCAATCATACAACAAAGCTTGAAAATAAATATCCTAAAATCTGAAGATACCGATGCCTGAAGAGACGCCCAAACATGAACTCTACCCCATAGAAGATCCACCTCTTGTCCCTTGGACCCTCAAAATTCTTCTATTCCTCTCCATCCACACCACCCAAAAGATTACGATGATAGCACATCTCCCTAACACCAAGCCCACATTTTTTCCACCCAAAAAACTTACACCTCTCACATAATAATGCAAAACAAGAGGCCGGAGCTGCCTATCTCAAATTGGTCTCCTTAACCAGTCTTCTCCACAAGGTCATAGTAATGGGACAACAGGTGATCTGAACTCTGAGAATCATTACTACACATCACACATCACACCAGTGGGGAGAGAGCTACCAATAAGACTGTCTCCACTGAACCACATCACAAGTGTTCACATTCCCATGAGCTATAATCCAAACTAACACCTGTAACTTTGGAGGTACTTTGTCCTTCCAAATTGTACGAAGCCACAAAAAGAAAAAGAAAAAGAAAGAAAGAGAAGAGTTATATATTAATTTTTTGCATAAGATTTACAAAAGCACACTCCTAAAGACTCCAACTTCCATATTCTTGTATCTGGCCGAGATTGCACCAATAAAACAATCTCTAAGACAGCAATAGCTCTGCTAACTCCCCCACCTCATGATCATTCAAGTGTATACGAAAACTGAAGTCCCAACTCAGAGGAAAAGAAGAAAAGTCTGCACAAATGCAATTGGACTACCATGCGCCCCCGACCCCCCCTTCTCCCTCTTTTCCTTTACCTGCAATATTTAATCCCAATTAACCAAATGCTCTTAATTCCTTCCCACAAAAACTTCCTCATCACACTTTCAATTCTGTTTGGCACACGAACAGGAATACAAAAAGTGAAGAGTAATAATAGATAGACACGCTGCAAACCGATTGCAGATGGGAAATCTCCACTTCTTCTCTTCCAACTACCAAACCCCTTATCGTATTCAACTCCCTAGCTCTTTCCACCAACCTACTCAACCCATCTACCACAACAGTAAATAAGAAAGGAGACAGAGGATCTCCCTGTCTAAGCCTCTATATGCTCCAAATTTACCCTTCGTCTCCCATTAATTAAGACTGAAAAATTAGCTACTCAAGCACCCCCATATCCACTTCCTCCAAACAGTTTTGAAAGCATTATATCATTAGAAATATTTATTTTTCTCATAGCTGCATTATAAGTACTTTAATTATAAAAAACTTTGTCGTTTGAAAAAAGAAAGTTGAGAGAAAAAAATTTTACCTGAGAAAAATCAACTTTCATGTTGTTCACCAATAATCTCGACAAGAGCACAAGCCATCTTTGAAATGGTGGAATCTCTTAGCATCTCTCATGATGAGTTCTCTGCCTACAATTTTTGAGATGATCTTCAATGCATTATGGCAATCACCACAAACACGAAGATTCTTGATTACCCTAACAGGTGAACGAGCTGGGCTGCTGAGGAGGGCATAAGCAACAGCAAGTCTCTCACTATGGGCAAGCAGTGCATCTTCCTTGCCTTCCTGATCTATGTCATGTAACACGAATCTAGTCTCTGGAATGTAACCAGCCTCCTTCATTTGTTCCCTTAAACCCCTAAGTTGAGCATAAATCTTATCATTCTCAGGATGAGATGTATCTCCTGCTCGATATTCATGGACTCGGCTCCTGACTTCTAAAAGATTTTGTGCTGCTAATTTTTTCTTCTCTTTCTCCTTTACAAGGTCTGAATCTTTTACAGGAACAAGGCCAGCCTTTGATTGCTCATTTAAGCTGGAGGCATCTAGCTGCTCAACAAGCTCAGCACACCGATCCCCGAGCTCCAACTGCCCATGAACTCTGCAGAGATTCATCAAGGTCTTCCAAACATCGACATTAGGTTCCAATGGCATCTTTTCAATGAACTCCAAAGCTTCTTCCAGATAGCCTGTACTTCCTAGCATATCTACTACACTCACATAATGATCCATACTGGGGACAATGCCATAATCTTTGCTCATTGATTCAAAATGCAGCAGTCCTTCTGTAGTATCTCCCAATACACCACAGGCATAGAAAACACCAATAAACATTTGGCCATCAGGTTCCAGACCTGCTTTCTTGAACTCAGTAAATAAATCAATGGCATCTTCCCCAAGGCCATTCTTAGCAAGCCATGTTATCATAATGTCCCAAGATGTCAAATTGCGGTTTGGCATCTTGTTGAAAACCATAAATGCACTGTCCATAGAACCACACTTGGAATACATCTCCAAAATTCTGTTGTATGTACTCACATTTAAGGGAGACAGTAATCTTGTAATGTTTTCGTGAACAAATTTTGCTTCTTCTAGAGCTTTAGCCTCCCCGCATGCCTGCATTAACTGAAAATATAGATGCAAATCCACCTGAACCTGTTGCTTCTCTAGCATACCCAAGATCTCCACAGCCTCCTTCACTTTGCCCTCCTTGCAAAACTTATCCAACTCTTCAAGAGTACCACTATATGGGCTACTTTCAGAAGCCTCAATAAGCTTTCTTTCAGATTTAGACTCAATTGCTACTTGAGAATCCACTATTGTATTTTGAAAAGGATCCGGATTTGTTTGATATTGTCCAACATGTTGGCTTTGCTGCCCATAACTTGTAGGGCCTTGCTGATATTGTCCACAACTAGGGGCTTGATGATATTTTCCATAACTAGGATTCGGCTGATTTTGTCCATAAATAGGGTTCTGTTGATATTGTCCACAAATAGGGTTCTGCTGATACTGTCCATAACTAGAGTTCTGATGATGCATCACGTCATTCCTTGTGTAGTAACCATTTAAATTTTGCTGATTTTGTGCAAAATGTTGGATATAATTCTGATTTTGGTTTCCCTGAGACCCTAAATTGCCTTGTAAACCAAAAGCATTTGAGTTCTGTCTGACTTCTATGGATCCCTCCTGCCAAGATGCACACGGATTCTCTATACTTCCATTTCCTAAATTTCTCCCATCCAGTTTAGGGGTCTGCAGCAGCCCTCCATTTTCTTGCCGATAATGCCCACTAAAATTTCCATCTTGTTGAACTACGTTATTCATGTTGCCTGTGTTTCTCCAGAAAACCCCATTGTAACTCTGATTATACTGATTTGAGCTCTGCTGGGGATCCCTTGAACCATCTGCACGAGCCCCATTTAGTTTCTGTTGCAACTGCACATTATTTTGACAATAAGTTCAGATGTACTCTTCCTCCGTGTATAAACATACAATGAAACAAAATCATTAAGTAACCCACAACTAAGCAAACTTCATTATCTTAAAGCTTACTGTAAAATTGCAACAAAAAATATAAAGAAGATGTAGTTAAGTTGTCAACCTCATTCTCAGCCTCAATGTCATCGTGCTCGTGACCTGTAGCAAAGGCAGATGCACTGGAAGAGGAAGTGAAGGTGGCGCGGGATGAGGAGAGAGCAGCGCATCTCTGACATGGCATCATTGAAGAGGAAGATGAAGAGATGAGGGGTTGAAAGCTGAGTTTGAGGCATGAGGATCTCCATGAGGCTGATGATGAGGCAAGGGTTTGCAGCTGAGCTGATGGCAGAAATACCATTCGCCTCCACATTTTGCTCAGTTAGCCTGCTGTTTTTCACTCTCTGCAAATGCACAAATTACCCATTTATGCCAGTGTCACTGAGACTGGGACCAAAACTATCTCATCTCAATCATTAAAAGAATCAAATAAAACTATAAGAAATTATAAAATAAAATAAACATAACCATGGGATGAAATTATTATTACAGACTCGATCAAAATTTTTGCAGATGTAAAATTTCTGATTCATGGTTGCTTCAACCAAGGATTCATGGGTGACCTATACTGGAGCTTTTTATCCTAGATAAAGATTGTATTTTCAGTATTTATTCACACTAGAGCTCCTTATACTACATCTTTCAGGTGAATTGATTTCTCACAAGTATTCCTCAAACACAGAATACTTCAAGCGTTATGCCTAAAAGGATTACAAGTTTCTGTAGAAACTCTCTGGTCTCCTTTTGGTTAAAGCTAGAGACTCCACAGCCTCATAAACCTTGCTGATCGTCTCAGCTGGACAAATGGCTCTTCCGACAATTAATAATTCATTCACAAACAAAATATAATTAAATTGACAAAACATAATGCATTCAGAATATCAAAACACAAACGCAGTACTTATTCCACCCAGACGAAGAAATATTTTATACAGATTTTCAAAACCCATCAATCATTCAATTCGGGATTAACAACCCATCATATGTACATTGAAAAGCCAAAAAATTCAACAAATACATGAAAAAGGTGTTCACAATATGAAACCTTTCGACTTGTGCGAATATTTTCAGCAAGCACTTCTCCTCTTTCTCCGATACTTTGCAAAGAACTTTGCAGAAACTCAGCGCCCTCTCTTGCACTGAGTGGAGCTCCGAGAAGGCAGACCAAAGAGAGAATGAGAGGGACGGGTTTTCAGTACCTTTGTGATGGCCTGAGAAGACAAAGTTTGAGAGACAGGAAATGAGAGGAAGAGAGGGGCTGCACTGTAGAAGACAGAGTGCCCGCGAGTGAGAGGAAAAAGGGGCAGTTTTGGAAGAAATTGTTAAACCCCATTTATGCAGAATGGGCTTGCGCTGGGGATGAGCATCCTGACTAACTAATATGGTTGTGTTGTGATTGATTGATTTTTATTTTTATTTTTATTTTATTTTTTGAGAAAAAGGAGATGGATGCATCCATTATTCAGGCCAAAAAGCCGTCAGTTAAAAGGGGTTAGTCTAAAGCCAATTGGGTTTAGGAAAGCGTCTTGACTTGCATATCAATGATCTCAAGTTTGAATATCCACGGAATCATATTCGTGTGTGTATGTGTGAGAAATCCTCCTCCATGTAGTTTAGATTATCGCTTGTATTAAAAAAAAAGAGTTAATCTAAATACGAAGGAGTACAAATATTGTTTACATCATAATCAACCGAGCATATCCAGTCTCAAAACAACTAGCACCAAGGCAAACACGCCTTCTCTCCTGCCGAAGGAAGACACTCTTCCGAGGTGTCAAGCACCTGCCGAAACTCCCGACTGCCAAAGCTCACAAACTGTTAAACCTAATTCTCATGACAGTGTCACCACCGCAGCAACTTGCACAGAGTCCCACATCGGAAATCTACACCAACCTCCCACTTTCACTTCCCTATAAAAAGGGAACAGTACCCTAGTAAGAGGGGTAACTACTTTTCTGCCTTTTACTATTACTCTGCAAAAGTTACCCTTCTTAGCTGACTTAAGCATCGGAGAACCTTCGGCAGGCACCACACCGGTGCCCGGAGCTTGACGACTGCTTCCCCTATTTTTGTCTTCTGCAGGCTAGCCTTTATTGAAGGCCCAGACCCTTTCCCTGCTGAAGGCAAATCCCTTTTTCTCTAAGTTGACCCTCTCCGAAAAAGAGCATCAACAAATATAAATAATCGATATGATTAATATAAATACATAAGCATAGTAACCACAAGGGATTAATCTAAATACAGAGAAGTATATCAACAACAGCAATTGCACAAGGTGTACCTCCACTCATATCTATTCTAGGCCAAAGAAATTTCTGAAAAAAAGCTCCAAGCTTGCAAAAACTAGACATATACCGTGGCACGCCAAACTACAACTTTTTAACTCTAACAAGTAGAAAATATAAATAGAGTACTACATGGTTCTGAATAATTTTAGGCCCTTTGATTCAAGGAAAATAATTGATGGCACCATGCCTTTTTTCATAGAATAAGAAATGGAAGATTAATCCCTTACGTTTGGTAATGCAGCAAAAATCTTAGAAAATATTATTATATTTTATTTTTGGTGTGTAGTTTGTCTATGAATTGAATTAAAATTTTGTTTAATTTTTCAATTATACCTAAAAAATTAAACAAATTAGAACCAATTTTTACAAAAATTATTGTAACAAGTACCCTTTTTACTCATGGTTAATAAAAATTTCTCTCAATCAAAGGAAAAGATACAAAAAGAAGCTCCAAGCAATATCGAATTGTAGAAAAATACCGCCACGATGGCAAATTTAAGATTAAGCAAATGGCAAGTTGGGTCTCTAAATTGCAGAAGATAGTTGCTTTGTCTACCCACATAGGCGTAGTATGTCGCAGTCCCCGGAGCCAAGGAGGAGATGATATGGCCGAAGGGCTTTTCTTGGACGAATTAAGAAAGAATGGGAGCAAATAATATTCATCTAGAGCTGTCAATAGGGTTAAGCTGTCACAATTGCATCCCAAAATAATCTGAATGCGAGGAGAATTTCGGGGGCTGAGGTCGCGTGAAATGAAATAGGAAAATATATCATATATCAGTATTTGTAAACAATAGCTTTCATTTATATTGTCATCAAATATTGAAGGATGGCAAAATCTCTTGTATTCTTGGTTAATATATAGCAACAATAATCTCTTTTCTAAAGTACATCCAGGGCCAAAAAATAGTACATCTAGGGCTACTAGCTAATAAGCCTGAACGAGCCTCAGCAGCTAATCAAAAATTGAAAATGAAAATGAAAAGCCTGCAAAGCCTCTCTTTTCAGGTATCACATGGTCTTCTTGCTGGCCAAAATCTCTTGTTTAGCATACAACAATTTCACCGTTTGGAAGGCTATCTGTCACCTTGAGGTCAAATTATGCAAAGTGTACTGGCTACCCAAGATCTTTTGCATAATTGCTCTACTTATACCAAACCATAGTGTATTTTATATTATATTCACAACTCTGCCCTAGATTCAAGGTCCTCTGCTGGACTGCCAATCACTGATTTCTCCCATTGATTAGGCAGTGGTGTGGACTCTTGGACATCCAGTTCGTCACCTAAGATTTTCGCAGTGAATTGCCTCGCCTCCAAATCAAGATCTGGCCATTCAGAAACTATTCTTCTAGCTCCCTGCAAGATTCAATAAAATTCAGGAAAAGTAATTGCACATCAGAACACTGAAAAGAAAAATGTACAATGATAACTTGGCCAAGGTGTGTGTACTCAGTAGGGGAAACAACACAAACCAAAGGAACAAACATCTACCTGAAGCTTGGGTTCCTTAGTCATGGGATTGTTACAAAGATCAATGGTTTTTGCTTTGGACTTTGTGGCATTACCACACCATGATTCACACCACAGCCATTCTTGCGGTAATGAAAATATCGGTACTGTATGTTGAGCATAGTTTGGAAGATCCTGTAACATTAATAGTGGCATTTAGAATGGTTAATGAAAAATATAATGGAAATGTACATCTGGAAAGAGCCTCCAAATTATGTGTTCCCAATGTAAAATTGTTGGGTTCTTATTTGTTTTCTCCTCCATAGACAGAGATAGGAGCTTGCTGATAGTGCAAATGGGGAAAAGTGAAATGGGTATGTTTACCCGATGATTAGGGTTGTTAGTTTGTAAATGCATTTGGGTGTTTTATGCACTGCTATGTTGGAACGGCAGCAAGCACACATCCATTTTCTTTGTTTGCACGTATACAAACATAAAGTTAATGTAAAATTCGTAATATCATTTTCATTGCCTAATTAATCAATCATTATACATGTTGGGCCCTACTTGAGGAGTCTGGGCCCACATGTGACAGTACTGTTAAAATATAAACATTCAGTGCCCAAGTGGGGCCCGTATGTCTCTGTCTCATCTTCGAAAATCAATTTATTATGCCTTAAAATGAAAAGACAAATAGACTATCAGACAGACAAAGACATGCACAAGCACATTAATTCTCGTCACATACATCATAACTGAAAGCGTAAATACGTGATCATGCAACCAAAAGAACTGTGAATTATGAGCTTAACCACTTGCCTGATCCAGATTAGATAGACTGTTTGGGTCCTTGCTAAGAGTCTCATAGAAAACTCTCAGATTATCTCCTGCTGCAGTCTCTCGAAATTTCTTCAAATCAACAACATACAAAGCACTGCACAAAATCAACGCATCAGCTCCGCAAGTTTTTCCCTCTTGTTAGAATAATAATTTTTGGCTCAGATCCTAATAGTTTTAAGCTTTTGAAAACCATGATTAGCTAAAAATAGTTTATTAAGTATTCAGAACAAAAGATTGTAAGTTCAAATCCTTATACTTGCAAATTCTCGACATAAGTTGACTTCCCCATGTTGAGCCCTCTAGTGGTAGGGAGAAGTCCACATGTGAGAGGTAGTTCTAGAACATCAAATAAATGCTGGCCCACATCCTCACAGGCTAAACTTTTGAAAACAATAGTTAACTACTACAAATATATTATTACTTAACATGTCCAACTTATGATCAATTGCAACATAAGCACTAACTGACCTTATGTGATAGGATTTTTCCCCGTAAATGTTCTTTCCAGAAACCCTCTCCAAACAAAAAAAAAAAAAAAAAAAAGATAAGCAAGTAACCAATGATGAATTAACAAACTACTCCATAACACTCTTTCTAACAGACATGGATCCATGAAATTGGTGACAAACTTCATTCATGAATGCATAAAAAATATAGAAACTGAAGAAAAGAAAAAAGATAAGGGCATTATTGATAACTACTTGTCTCCAAAACCGATATCCATCCATATCCTTGTTGTTATCACAAAATGGAGTATATGCAAGAGGTCTTCCTTTTATATCCATGTCATAGAGTTCTCCCATGTCTGCCCTAACAACTTGATCTGCATCAACAAAAATGACCTGCAGATATTGGCAAATATTGAAGATGTCAAATATATACATATATAAATATGAAAAAGCACTAAGACAGCAAGTTGTCTTACGAAATATTAAATGGCAATACCTTTTCCAAAGAAAGGGGGAAGATAACATCAAGGAACAAGATTTTATAGGCCCAAATAATCCTTTGCTTTTCTTTCTGCTTGTGCAACCATGTAGGCCACTTGTAGGTGACTAGTTCATACTCAAACCCATATTCTTGAGCCATAAGTGGAATGACATCCTGCGTACAATAATAATGACCAAGTATCCAAGTAAGCAGTCTCATTTTTTTCTCTGCAAATGAGCCTTGACAAATGTACAACTTAAACATTTATAACCTTGAACTGAGGAGACAAATAGTTCTTTATGAACCAGAATTTGACTGGACGACGGGTGTTCTTCAAGACACTTAAAATCATGATCTTTAGAAAACGTTCATATCTGCCAAGTTAGATCACAAGAAAGTCATTAAAAGATTTCACGCTTAACGGAAAAATTAAAATAAGCCAATCTCATAGAATAATGATGACAATTTTTCTTGTTATTACTATCATGATAGTTGTAATAACCATTCTCATTTTTATTTCTATTACTATTATCTAATTGTAAAAGTTGTAAAATGACATTATTTCGGTATGCAACTAAGAGGGCAGGAGCATTTATCTGAGATCCGTCCAAAAACCAATTTTTGAATTCAACGTGTATAGGCATATAAAGAACCAATTTCAACACTTTAATTGTATCGTATGGCACAACATCTGTGGGTCAATTTCAGAACCCCTGAGGTTTGATTTAATTGCACTCACACCCCACTGGGGTCCCAATGAAATTGACCACACCACCATCTGCCAAATATTTATGAACTCCAGGCTCATGTACTTTTGAGACAACGGCTTATGGAAGTTCACAAATGTCATTTTGGATCATCATTTGTGGCTTTCACCTTCAGGCTGGAAGACATTAAAAACTAATTCCTAAATACAACATGTATACTCAATCTTTGATTTTTCATAAAAACCAATGTTTATTAGAAATAACAGGAGTACAAGGAGGATGAACAAGATGTCCATTAACAATAATCCAAACAATGATCATGAATTAAGGAAATTTCAAAGTTACTGAGTTCCCAAAATAGTAAGATTCCATCTATCCTCTAGGAAAATGAGGACCATATCAAGCATGGTGGGCCAACCAATTTATAAGTTGCATAACTTTCAAGCCACGAGATATTTCAAATCTTGCTTAAATATTATAGAAATGCACATACAATCAAACATATAAGACATATTAAACAGAGAGAATATCACAATCTGAACAAGAATGAAGTTTTGTGAGAACGAGTTAAGTACTTGATTTTTTTTTTTTTAAGGAAGTACTTGATATTTAGTAGTATCCTACTACATCATGACTCTTTATGACATTTTGATCATTGACGAAGTGAATATTGTACTTTCCATTTATAATACAAGGCAGAAATTAAAAAATTAAAAAATGTTGATAAACAAAATAATGATGCAGAAGCAATCATGGACTCAATTATGTTCACCAAAGAAAGACTGTAAAAGAAAGCATAAAGAAGATCAAAATCAAGAGAGAAGAAACACTCACAGGTGTCCAGAAGCAATAGAAAAAATATTAATCGTTTTTCCATGTCGTACATCCTTTCCTTGCTCCTAAGAAGGAATAGTTGCAAGACTATCATTTACCCAAAACCATAATAGAGAGTGCTATCAAACATAACCAGAGTCTAACTGGAATGATATAATGTTTAATTAACGTAAGGTTTTACACATTATGCAAACTGTAATCATATAATAGCAATATCTAAAATTAGTCAGAAGCAGATATTTGAAAAAATACAACAACACAAACAAAAAAAAAAAAAAAAAAAAAAAAAAAAAAAAAAAAAAAAGCAGTAAGAGTAGTTGCATATAAGACCAAGACATTTGCTAAACCTAATGCAATCCATTTGGATGAACTGGACTTAATCAACTTCTGATTGCTTTTAATTAAAAGTAAATAAGGGGAATGTAGACCAATAAGTTTAGTGATGAGCCTGTATGAGGTTTTCGCTTTGTGCCAAAGGGAGGTTTTCTATGTGTCACCATTTCAGATGTTCAAGTGGCATTTGTGAAAGTAAGACAGATCTTGGATATGCAGTTTTGGTGGCAAACAAATTAGTAGGTGAGAAATAAACAAAAATGTGGTAATATTTTTCAAAATGGACTTCGGAAAAGCTTAAAAGCAGGTTGAGCGGAACTTCTTGGAAAGGGTTGAAGAGCTGGTCGAGTTATCTTCATTACTGGGATTGTTGGAGTACTTGAATTGTTAAAGCTAAACCTGATTTGAGAAGATGGAGGTTGGATTTATCAGGAGAATTTTCTTGCTAACCTTTCTTTAGTTTCCTAAATACAAATGATGCAGCTCCGGCTTTTTTTTTTCCCCAGTGCAGACAACTTGGAAAGACTAAGTCAAGATTTTGGTTTGGCTTGGGGCTCACCAGAGGGGAAATACTTGTTATTTTCTTCAGGGTAGAGAAGCTGCTATTACTCCTCAGCGGCGCATTATGAGTAAGATACAGAGGGAATGCACTGATCATATCTTCGTGTATTCTCAAGTAGCCTCAGGATTATTGCATAACTTTGTGTAAGGACTCTGGAGTGAGTTGGGTGACTGCAAGAGGGAGTTAATCTTGGCTAAGTTATAAACATGCTGCACTTCGCGGAGGGACAAAGACTATACTTCAATGGTAGTGGTAATGTCTTGGCTGTACTATGGATAATTTGTGTGGAATCAGAGGATCTTTGGAGATTATGGAGTGGCAAGGGCAGATGATCTTTGTGAGAGTTAAGGTTTTGGTCTTCACTAGGCCATTCATTTCAACAGACTTTAAAGATTATCTTTTTCTTCTGTAATGTTGGATTGGGGAGCAACTGTAGTATTTCTTTTAAACTGAGGGTAATTTTAAGTTATTTCTGAAAATCTAACCTTCATGGTCCTTTTGCTTTATATATACAGACTAAAATCCAAAACACCGAACTGATACATTCCAATTATTATATAATTGGCTTTTTCTTGGTATGTATATAATTCATTAAGTTTAACAGGTTACTTGTATCCACCAGTAGAGACAAATATTAACCTGACTCGGACCAATACTAAATTATATACTTCTATTATGTTTATGTATAACTACAACTTGTTATTGATTTCCATTAACTAAGTACCAATCTATAGTTTCTTATGGCTGCCCATTGCAATGATTGAAGAAATGACACGTGGTACATTGTAATTTTACCAAAAACAGAACGACAGCAGTTCAACAATGTTAATACAATCCCGTGAAGAAAAGAAAGGAATTACTAAGATTCCTTACCACTGAAGTACTTCCACTCTTTTTTGATTGTTCAGCAGCACCAATAAAACCAGAAGCCCATTTCAAGAAGTTGGTGTTCCAGCTACTTCCCTAACAATGGGAAGGAAGAAAAAAAAAAAAAAAAAAAAAAAAAAAAAAAAAAAAACAAATTTAAGATTTCTACACACTAAGACTATTTGGTCACAACAGTAGTAGGAATTAGGACAATATTTCAAAAGTAATAACAAGAAGCACTCACCTCCTTATTATCCTGTGTGTTGTCTTCAACATCAGACACTAGCAATTTTTCATGCTCCTTTCCCTTCTTCTTCGCTACTTCCAGGTGAACTACTTTACCCCGCAAATCATTTATGGTGATGCGTTTGGAAAATGTTTTGTTTCCACTTCCGTCACCATTATCTTTCAGAACATAAAGTTCCGAACTTCTACCAGGAGCAAGCTGCAAGTACCAAACCCCAGGAGACACTTTCATTTGCCAATATCCCAGATTGGCCATCACAAGAGTATCAACCAAGTGAGGTGTACTCTTAGTACCAATAATCAACTGAAGGCCACGGGGAGGATCATGATCTTTCTCAGAACAATGACCTGGTTAAGACGACTTGTCAGTACATATGACAACATAGTAGTAACCCTCACCTCACCCTTAACTTGCAGTAAAATTGTAAGGTAATGCCGAGTTACAATTCATCTCAAGAGAACAAAATCATACCCGTAAGGACAAGAGCTTCAAGCTCAAACACAGCTTGTAATGTCCGTGTCTCACCAAGATTCTCAAGCAAAATATTATCCAAGTCATGGCTGTGTATAATTAGAAATAAATTTAGTAAAGGGCAAAGCATAAAAAGTGGTAGTCATAACGTAAATTCTTCTACATTTTGTTTGAATCAGAGTCAATGACAGTATGACAGAAACTACAAACTTGTGTTAACGGAGAAACTCACACTGCAATAACAGGCTCAACTAGCCACGGGTCAGGAACATCAAGATTCATTGTGAGAGTTTTGGACAGTGGCATGTTTGCAAAAAAGGCTTTTGGCCCATTTATTGTGTAGTCGGTGCTGCTGAAGTCATCCTGCAAATATGATGACAAAGAGTCTGATACAGGAGTCTACATTCCAATGGAAACAAAAGTATTGGGCTTATAGAAAACTAGTCATCTAGCATACCACTGTTGGTACCACGTATCTGTAATAATTCTTCAGAGGAAGATCGACAAGAGAACTCTGAAAAGAACTCAGTTGTTAGAATGTGGAGAATATTAACAGTACTGTATTAACAAAAGCAGTGAGAGAAACATATACACCTAGCCATGAATTTACAAAAATACCAAAACCAAACAAAAGACCATCTTTGGTTTATCGATGGCAATAGTCATAAACAGTACTGTATCAACACATGGATACACTGAAAAGGCAAAGGATAGGCTTTCTATTATTTGTAAATCAAAACTCATAAACTGCTTGAATATCAAATCAAACAGGTAACAACACACCGTGACCTATGGAAAAAGGTCAAACCTCAAAAAGATAAAGCCACAATAAAAAGGCTATACCAATCATGAGTCAATTATTTAGGGATTAATATTTAATATAGTTGACTTTGTATCCTTTTTGTATACTTTGTACATCTTATAAATACTTCAGAATGAGAAGAATAAAATCATTCGATTCATTCAGATTTCTAGAAAAATGAATGGTTCGGATCATGAAATCCGATTGTGAGGTGCACTCCTAAAGGGCGTTTTGTTCCGTATTAAGTTGCATGCTAGTTTGTGTTTGAAAATTTAACTCTATATATATATGAGTTTCTGTACCAAAGACTGTAGAATGGAAAGAACACATAATAGGTAAAGGCATTCATGTATCATATTTATGAAGTTTAAGCAACTGAGAAAGTATTATCTCACCATTGGATTTAGTACAATCCTCATGCTGGGCCGAATGTATTTCCAAAGAACGCGAAGAATTGATGATAGCTTCTGGCCATATGGACTTAAAGGATCAACAACTGCATCGATATGAATACTAGAATTTTCATTGTTCAAAACAATGGCACTGTAAAGGATAAAGAAAAAAAGGAGTGTAAGATATAATGGAACAACAAAGACATAATCTAACTTTTTACAGACCCCAACATATCCATGAGAATCACCACTACAAACTATACCAAGGCGCTTCTCTCTTAACCATGGTTCATATATTTCAAAAGCTATACTTTTGTACACAACAGAAACTCAGACTATAACCAGATACAAATATGGGAAAGTTACAAAAGATGCCCCCTTTTATTTCCATTTTCACTAAACATTAGAAACTACAATCAATTTCTTACTTTTTTATTTTAATACAAGCGATAATCTAAACTACAAGGGGCCATGGGGGTTTGAACCTAAGACCACTAGGCTGCAAATCAAGGTCCTCCTACAAATCTAAACTGCAAATCTAACAGCAATTGTGTACTTTTAAGTTTTAAGGAAGTTGGGCTGCAAATCTAATATCAATTGTGTACTTCTAAGTTTTAAGGAGTTGGGCTCGTTGTTCACAATAAGGGTTCGTTTGGGAGTGATTCTGGCCCAAAATCACCATGGGGAGAAGCACCTCCCACGTTCTTCTTTACATAATCACTTAAAGTGACTATATGGAGGAGCAATTCTAGAGGTGATTATTGGCCTATTCAGAACCACTCCCAAACAAGCCCTTAAAATTTGCACCCAACATCAAATATCCAGGTGAACTGCCACTAAAGACCACACTCACTCATGCTTTTTCTTAAATATTAGATATCTAAAGACAATATTAAAGTTGTTTACATGGTATTATGAAACTAAATTACAATGAGACATCTAGTTGTCATTGCCCCATACTATACATACACTCAAAGAACCAGTTATCTGTTTACCTATATTCTGCATTCAAAATGTCAAAGCGTGCACTTTCAGAACTTCGATCCCGCATAGCCATTGAAGATGACACACACATGATAGTATCACTAATGAATTTGCTGCAAGTACCATTTGAAAAATCACAATTAGTCATTACCCAAATAAAAGATAAGATTGTGAACGAAAAAGTGATGTCAGTTACAAATGGCCAAAATTTATCAGTGATCCCTACTGAGAGTCATTATCGACATTATCAGTCATCCCCAGTCACCCCAATTATATGGACGGCTCCCCTATATCAAATTCATTTGCACTGGATCATCCAAATATATGGAAAGTCCAACAAAACAGGGAAATCCAAGGTCAGGACTTGTACCAATACCCAAAACTCAAAACTGAATACATGTAATACAATCCTCAAGGAGACCTGGGTCATGGACCAAAACAGTGAATATGGCATGCAATAACTGAGATTCAAAAACAATAAATAAATAAATTTTAAAAAGAAACATGAAATCTGTAAAATTGTTTGCCACCTTGGAGAGCATGTCATATAAACAATGTCTCGAATATAAAGTAATTGTTGGCCCACGTCCTAATAGCTTAAGCTTTTGGCAGCAAAGGTAAACCAACAAACTTCCTCACTAGGTATCCTATGCAAGAAGGCAGAAGCAGAAAGCCAATATCTCTCTTTCAGAATGAATTTCTAGTTTATGTTCATATAGAAATAATTAAAATTTATTGACTTACAAGAAAACTACTGGAACATGCTTAGGCATCTTAAATTCAAATACACAGGATCAAGCCAAAAAAAAGATGCATGATTATCTTTGGTCTCCACAATGGTTGGGTTAAAAACTTGCAGCTGATTTAGGATGTAAGCAGAACGCATTGCACAGTTAAAGAAAAGAAGCTTGACTAAAAAACCTTGTTAGGGTGTCAGGATCCACATCCTGCCACTTCACTTCTTCAATAATTTCCACTATGTGCTTTATTCTCTGTGCAAACTCCAGAGACTCTAGAAGACGTAAATCATGGCTCAAGAAGGTGCTCTCGTCATTTAAAAGTGTCACCTATATCATCACACAAAATGATTTCATTAATATAGGGATGGTTGCCTAGACATGGAAACTAATTGTAAAGATAATTATTTTAAAAAAAATATTGAAACTTTATACTATGTTTAAGTAAAAGAGCTGAAATAACATTTAATATGACTTCCAACTAAGTAGAATGTCAACATAGAAGACTCACCCTTCCATTAGTAATGACTGCATTAACACCAGATTCAAGGCGAAGCTCCCTATATAAAAATTGTGCTACCTGAAAACCATCATGCACAGCTATCACAAGAACATTCTCACAGTAGATAACCAATGTCTGAACAGATAAAGACAAAATGATTTCTTAATAACTCGCAAGGCCAAAAAAGGAAAAAAGGACGAAAAAAGGGCAAAAGCATCAAAAGAACCCTATACACAGAACTATTTGCGAGGAACTACAGCAGGCCAATGTGTACCAGAAGTCAGTAGCCATCTGATGAAAGCAGTGAACTTATACACACTAGAATTTAAAGATAAAAAGCCAAACCACACAGATAATTGTATACCTTATTCACATATTTTCCCAATTTGTCAGCAGAAAATTCAGAAAGAGCAGATCTATAGGGCTTTGATGATAACCCATTAGCCTCAGCCAACTCACAGACTTTATCTATAAATGCTTGAGTGCTCTCAGAAGCTTCAGATGGTGCAAGCAAGTAATTATGCTCATATAATGTGCACATCTGACTCAGAAAGTTTAACACCTTTTTCTTATGGCTGCACAACAAGCATGAAAAATTAACATGAGTTATGTATTCATTGCCCATTAAGCTTTGATAAACATTCCCATTATGCTTTGATAAACGTACAAACCTATATGAGGATGCGGTGATTTCAAACGCCTTCACGAAAAGAAGACTAGAAACATCAGCATGCTGATTGACACTGAAAAGCACACCTACTCGAGCAGCATTAGACCCATCCATCTGAATTACAATGAAATAAATAAATACAAAACAGAAAACAACATCTATAATTATGATGATGGTGATGAACATGTTTAGGGTGAAATTATGACAGCAAAGATATAATATTAATTTAAAGAATGCAAGTGTTCAAAACTTAACCAGATAGTATAAGCCTTCATGAAGCAGCTTCATTCCCTTTCTTTGATGCAACATTAACAGCTAGAAGATGAGTCACAGGCTTCAAATCATCCATAGCTGGGTGGAATCAAATGATCCACCAGTTAGAATTAACTGAGCAAAATTGTATGCACGAACTAAAGGTTTATACTTAGAAACAGCTTACTTTCAGGAGAATGCAAATAGGCAATATCATTTAAGACACCTTCTCCTCCAAGAACATATGTAGACAGAGAAACGAACCTTGGTTTTCCACCAGCAATAATCTACATAAAACAAAAACAAAAATAAAAGAAAAGAAAAAAATACACTACATGTTAAATCGTTGCAATACATAGACAATCATGACTCTAATTAAAGCATTCTAAATTTTTAATACAATTATTCTAAAATGCTCACCTGTGGATTATAGCGAGTAGTACCACTTTCTGATAAAAATTTATCAAGAACATCTGTTCGAGAATTTATATGCCCATAGTAAACTTGCTCCTGTATTCTGGGTAGCTCATCATTCATGGAATTTATAAGGGCCTCCTGATCAATGTAAACCAAAAAGACTTATGGTTTATACCATCTAGGAACAGTGGACATATTCAAGAACTAGAAGAGGCTACACATGCTATGGATGTTTCAAAAGAAGTTATTGTAGATAGAAGTAGGACAGAGAAGGTTAGGGAGCTAGTGAAAATAGAGTTTAATTACTATGTTGCCCTCAATTTCTAAGTGCATTATTCAGCTTATCTAACATCACAAGGGTAAAAATGATATTGTATTAGTTGACAAATGCTGTTTTTTTCTAAACAATACCTCATTAGAATCCACCACAAGCCCATTCATCAACAGGCCACACTGCAGCTTAGCCAAACCCAGCTTAAAGACAAACATGGAGCTTTCTTGAGAAAGTTCCTTGTAAGTTTGCTCCTTCTCCAGCTTCAGTAATAAATCTTGAGGTGGAGATTTTGCCTTGGATCTACAAAGGAGAATAAGAGCAGATTTCAGCTCACCCAGAAATAAAATAAGGAATACATATATTTTTAACAGGAAATCATGATTATTATACAAGTATTGGAATTCAAATCAGCCGTAAAATATGTATAAACACTTACAATACAGTTTCTACAAATGCTCCTTCGACATGGTGCATTTCAAGAGCATCATCGTCAGAACCATCAGAATCAATCCGCAATTTATTTATCTGACATGCAGAATAAACAAAACAGTCTTGTTTAGGCATAAAATTAAGGAGTATTGCTTCACACGGCATTATCTTACAAGTCAAAAATAGTGTGCGAAGATGTTAGTGCACATCAAGAAGCAACATTAACGCAAAGATGCCCAGAGAATACAGGGACCATCTAAAATCATTCAAGTTACAAGAGAAGTTCTTTATGGCACTTTTCTATATCTAATTTCTCCCTCCGAATTAGTCCAACATGAGGCCTACTTATACAAACATATTAAGATGTAAAATCTTATTTAGTGGTAAAAAGAATATGTCACTGTGTCCAGGTACAGGATACAATGTGCCTCTTTTTCTAAGAATGAAGTAACTCCACCATATGCAACAATGTATAAAGTAAGCCTATTTCTAATAACCAATCCAGAATACAAAGAATTAAGGAGTAGAGATAAAATTAAAAAATTGAAAATAACACATCAAGACAGGGATCAGGTGCTTTAGTCAATTAAGCAGTAGGAACATTTGAGCAGACTTAGCACACAGCACAACACAAGAAAACAAAACAATGCAATGAACACGTGAAACAAAAGGATGCAATAAAAGATGACAACAGTTGAAATACCGTGACATTATGACAGCAAAAAAAGCTACAGAAAAGCAATATATGAAAAGCAATTATTATATCTCAATTGAAATATCTTTTTAGTGCAATTATTATTAACTAATATGGAGACAAATTTGACAGAAGCATAACAGCAGACACTTACATTGCTCAAAAACTGGAAAGCTGTTTGAATTCCATGATTCTCCTTGATATAAATGAAGAGACGTATAATCTGCACAGACAAAAAAGTGTTTCTTTATAATCCAGGAGCCTCTGCAAGGAAAACCGTTTTCAAGAATCGCTACTGTAAGACATGAAAAATAGTTTGTATGATAGGGGCATACGGAAGTTTGCTAATATTAGAATGTGAGCATCCAACCAAAACCAATTGGGAATGTGTGGAGACGCCGGAGATCATTTAAACCACCAAGGCAAGGCTTCTATTTCTGATGTGGAATAATACTCTCAACACACGCCTTCACATGTAGCATCTCTTAAGACTAACAAGTGGACAACACATGTTATTTGGTGACATGAGAGCACATGTGGGTGTTAGCCCATACCATGCCAGAATGCGCGCATCCAACCCCAAACCAATTGTCAATGGGTTGAAGGGAACAAGATCTTTTAAGGTATTATGCAAGTCTTTAATTCCACGATTTGGGATAATACTCTCAACAGCTAAAGCATAGAAGGAAATTAAATACACAACAGAGTGACAAAATAAGAAAGGTAGAGAAGAAATTACCAAGCTGGATATATCCTCCCCAATTTTACTGTCATCTTCACTGCCACTAGTTTCAATCTGCTTGATGAACTTCGAAGAATACAGTACAACCCCAAATCTCATAGGGAAGTTATTCTCGTACAAAGACGTAATCATGTCAATGGACTGCAAGATTTGAACAAAAAAAGATCATCCAATAAGTATAACCCAGCAAGATAATATGAAACCAGAATATCACTTATCATGTGGCAGAGAATAAAACTTACCTCAAGACTACAAACAGTTGCTGGATCAATAACAGAAATTGCATAGAAAAGGTTTTTACGGATATAACGTAGCTGTCCAGGGAACACTGGCATCAAAATCTACACCCAAATATATTGTAGAGATCATATTTCCAGAAAAAACAAAGGCATATGATGTCATCCAAAGTTGAGAGAGAGGGGCTGAAAGAAGCAATATATCCACCTCATTTAGATTATTCCTCCATCGTTTATACATAGCATCTTCTTCCAAGTTATTTAGATAATGAACATGATTTGAACGAAAATCTACACGGAGCATATTAGATTCTGGAGGAGGCACAGTCGACAGGAGTTTCCTTGCAGTGCTATGAGGAATCTGTGATAATTGATAGTAACAATATATCAAGCTAACTTCAAATCTATGGTATAATTCATTGAACACTGCTCAACACTACTATATATCAAATTTGAAAGAAGGCCTACAGGACTACACCAGGAGCTTAGTCAGCTCAAAGTCAGATATACAAAGACATTAGACAAAGCCCAACCCAGCCCAAAATTCAATATCTGTGCTGGAATTAACCCATGAATTGGATGTGCATCTGCCCATCTCAGCGTCAACCATGTTAAATATTTTAGGCATCCAGAAGTAGGAACAAATAGTACAAATGAGTGTCATACCAACCCAAGGATCCCCAGCAATGTACTCTATTCAAAAGTAGCTAACTGACTGAAAAAGAAGATTGATGAAAGTGAAGGTGATATCCCTAACTCAGATCACCTTTAAATAACATTTTAATCTAGAAGTGCCAGACCATTCTTTTAATCACATTTCACAAAGATATTAAAATATAAAAATATAAAAACAAAAATTGCTTCCGTAAGACAAATAGTTTGTAAAAAAGGGAGGGAAAGGGGGCCAATAACACAAATTTATACCCCCTTAAAAAAAATTATTTAAAAAATGAAAATAAAAAAATAAAAAAATAAAAAAAGATGCTCCCATTTAAGACATAAAAACTGACATTGAGTGAATCCTAAAATTGAAAGTTTAGCATTTCATTTTATGGGAGTGAACAGGTCAATTGCATGAATTAACCACATTTGAGCCAATGATGTGCACTCTTCCAGCGAATCATAGCTAAGATTGAACTCCATTCACCTTCAATTTTGAAAACTGATCCGCCAATGATAAATCCTGATGTACCAAGTCAACCAACCTACGAAATATTAAGGAAATGCAATGTCAGTGGTTGAACAGACTAAGTTGAGCATTAAACTTGTAAACAGTCGAATGAGTGTCAAACGAACAACAGAAAAGTATAAAGGTGACAGGAATAGAGCTGGACATATAGATACCAACTCAAGCACCTCTTACTGTAATAACAATTGATACCATTTTCAATCAAACGTTCTCCACTAAAATCGATAAATGACATTCAAATTTACAACAATGCATGGTTTTCTCAAGATTTTGGACAATCTATTGGCAAATAAAAAGGTAAATTCAATCAATACAAGTAGTCTGCTTTAACAGAAAATACTCAGGCAAGGTTAAGAGAGCAATTTCAAGAGTGTATTAAAAACAACAACAATATGAGCAACAAGCAAATCAATTACAGTGAAGTACTACACAATCTACCCACCTATACTGCATCTAAAATTTGCCTATCTTTCACAAATGCGCCTTAGGCAAGACCATAACCACCAAAAACTTCTCTTAATCTAAAACGCAAAACATGTCATACACCTGAATTTCATTACTAATAAATTGTGACATTTCCATGAGTTGATGTTTCCAAGTTTTGCATCATTTCACTGACATTACAAAACATTTCTGCATCCAAACAGATTAAAATGGTACATGCAACACTAAATATACCCACAGAGGATTGTAAAGATCAGCACAAGCATGAAAGACAGACTCGAATAGGACAACATCCCAAGACTCTTAAAAGGGTTGATGAATAATTTTGAACAAGCTAATGGTGAATGATGTGAAATTTTAATGTGGCGAGATTTCTTATGTAAGGTAATCTATGATTGGATACATAGTTAGTAGAACATATTAAGATGTATTCATACTGGTAATGAGATGCAACAGCAGATTAACCTGGGACTGTTTTTATATGGGAGAATTTTCAGTTTCTAAATTATCCTACATTCTTTTCTTGATTTCGCTTTAGAAAATCCAGGCTCCAACAGTGATTGGAGTAACATTTAATTATCTTGCAGCTGCAACAAGGGTTATATTTATATCTATTTTTTGGGATTATTTTTCTCATTGGGTCTGTGTACATGAGGTGGAATCAGGGGCCATTTCAGATCTGTGCTTGTTGTGGGTCTATGGCTGGAAAGGAAATAATCCAGAGTGGAATCATGAGAACTCAGAGACGAATCAAGGAATTGTAGGCAATATGGTTAAGAGAAGATTTGGAAAATTTTCTGCAGCAGCAGAAGTAGATGGAAGAGCAATTTAACCTGGCACTATTTTTAAAGGCGAGAGTTTTCAGTTTCTAAACTATTCTACAGACTTTCCTTGATTTGCCTTTAGAAAATTTAGGCTCCAGGCTCCAGGCTCCAGCAGTGATTGGAGTAGCAGTTACTCATCCTACAGCTGCAAGAAGGGCTCTACATATCTATTTTCTAGGGTTCTTATAGGGCCTTTTTACATCATAATGATGGGAGTATGGGTTATGTTTATCCATTGAGTCATAATATAAAACTTTTTTAACTAAATTAGACACCTAATGGTAATTGAAATCTGCAAGAAGTTTTTTTTTCACAAAAAAGAAAAGAAAGAAAGATTACAAATAATATTAAACCATATCATGTACGATTGAAAAATTATCCTGTCACCCTCCTCAAGCTCATAATACAATTAAAGCAACTTAAATTCTCTCTAGATCACACAAACATTTGTCAAGCCAAAAGAAATCCTACACGTCTAAATTGGTTAAAACAGACAACCACATGCATCACCATCAGTGTGATAACACAAACTGTGAGAATTATGCAAGTTTTTCAGTGTGAAATGATAAAAAGAAAATCAGTAAGAGAAAAAGCATTACAGATAAAGGTCAATATCTTCAATATTGAGTAAAGCACCATTCAGAGCCATTAAGGACTTGCCAGGTGGGATCATTCTCTGGTTTGCACTTATTTCATCTTTAACTGAATCATTGAGCTGTAAAGCAAAAAGCTTGGTGAATTGATGACAACAGCAAAAACAAAATATCTATTCTGGAAATATTTTCACCATGAGGAAGAAGAAATTATTTAAGATTCATGTCAAATTCAAACTGTACAAAAATGCTTTACCTTCATGCGAGATAAGGAAGAGACAATGCTTGGAAAATTTTGATTAATTTCCTGCATTGCTTGCAAGGGATCAGAAGCATGAACTATCCTCTGTGCAGTTTGATGTCCTAAATCTGTTCAAAAGAGTAACATTTAGCACACTGCACTTCATCAGAAAAAAAGACTAAAGCCTTAATTTGCAGATACCTTTTAGTTCCCAAACATCGAGTGTATCAGATACTGTTGATGACAACAGATAATCCCTGAATGCCATTATCTCTGATGTGAGTTCAGGTCTGCGTTCCTGCAAGTAGATGGAGCAAAATAATGTCATCCTTTATGGTGATTGGGTGGAAGTTCTGAACATCAAATTATCCATTCCCCACACTACAATAATTCCATACGAAGTTATAGAATTCCATTTTTTGATAAAATTGAATTGTTAAATATAGCATCAGTTAATGGCAAGTCAGCACAAACTCACTCAGAAGCAGCAAGTCAAAGGTGCCTTCCATTACCTCTCCAAATTGGTACAATAATCTTCATATGAAAATTGAACCATCTTTGAGACCCTTTGCTTGTTGTTAATGGTATCTACCTTAACTTCTGATTTTAATCACTACTCCAGCTATCATCTTTCCTAAAGTCTGCCAATAAAATGATTTTTCTACATAATTAAAAGCATGTGAGGTCCCCTTCTCTCAAATTATCAATCAAACCTTTTGAAGAGGGCTTTGCAATTGATCTTCTTGGAACAAAATTAGGTCAATTTCTTTTTTCACATGTTTAGTGATCTGTTGGTCATACCCTGATGTTGCCCACATGGGTTAAAACACAAAAACGTATGCTTTATTTCAGAATACACAACATCATAAAACTCACAAGCTTAATAAAGAGAAGTTGGTGCAGCCTTCGGTTATGCTTATATCTGTCTATAAGTATCATGATGCTGGGTTTTACTAATCCTCTAGAGCTTGCTAAACATATCAACCAACCCTATTAATTCATAAGTCATAAAGACCATCCAATAAATTTCTCGATCCCAGATTAATTTCTGTGTCCACTAGTTTCTTTTCTCAAATTTTAGTTGAGTCCAGTAGCCTTTACTACTCATCTTTCTCATAACTTCTTTAAACTTAGTTAATAACACATGGTATATCTGTGGATCATGAAAATCCAAGCACAATATTCACAATATGTGTGTAAAACATTTAAAACCACAATCGTATCTAATGACAAATATACATACTTTTTCTTTTTTTTTAATAGAAACGATTGTATTGATAATCAAGAGGACAAGCTGTCCTCGACTAAACAACAAGAGCAAACACTACTTAATCAAAAGCAGAAAACTAGAAACAAGAAGAAAACCACTGAAGCTACACCACCCTAAAAAAGGCTAGAAAAAGCATCTAAGTAAACATATCTTAAGACAGCTCTCATATCTCTCAAGGTAATAGGATAATGGTAATCCTTAAAATGTTCGGTGACAGATGCCCAAAGAGAGGCCCAAAATTTTACTCTATTCCAGAGTTCTTCATAAGTCACTCCATCATACTATTCATATATACACATTCCACTTTTACTAATAAAAAATGTACATGTGCATGATATATATATATATATATATATATCACTTATCCCTAATCTGAATTGCAACTTAATTTCATTCTCAATTTCAAAACTCACCGAAAGCAAGGGCGTAGCAAATCAGATAAATCCAAACATTATTTTGTTCCTTTTCTATTTATTCCATCTTTTTCTGCCTTCTATAAAAAGGACAAAAAAGGAAAATTTTCAATTTTTTGTTCCAGTATAAGACTGAACATTCTTGCGCTCCATTTTTCTTATTCGTGGAATGGTGACCCCTATCAGCCCTTTCCACTTGACAAGCTACTAAACTCAATGGTGGCTCCATACCCTTATAGGTTGGGAATTGTCTAGAAATCAATCTTTCAGTGGAAAAATTACAAGGGCTTCCATGTGAAACTATTTGCTTTTAATAACTTTGCAGTGTTTCCCATCCACAACGATCAATATTTACAAAAAGAGAGCAAGGAAGCACACCAACCATGCACAGACTTATGTATCTTATATTATAAACACAAAGTTACTGTAACTTGTGCTATTATATAAAGGATAACAAACCAGAATTTTAGAGAATATAAACCCTCTGACTTCTTGGCTTAGATCTTCAGTCCTCGGATCTTCTAAAGTGACCCCTGCAGCATAAACCTCAAACTCATGAGGTTCTTAACCACAGATGAAATTAAAAAGACTCCAACACCTAAAACACATGAGTAAAAGCATAAAAAAGATTTTACTTACTACAATAACAAAACAGAATAATATAAAGATGTGAGGAAAAAAAAAAGAGAAAAATAAACTATACAAAATAGTGTACAATTCATATTACTGGAACTTTGCAATTTTCTATCCTAAACCTAAGTCTTTGTAAATAGAGTCAAGGCTATCCAAGCCGAGTTGAGCGATTAGTGTGCAAGCTACTACTTAAGACAGCCTTCAAGCTACATCATGAATCAAGCTTACATCCTGTGTGTGGATGTGGAGGTAACTAACGTCGAACCTCAAGTCTTAAGTGGGTCAATATGACTTTGGTACACATTCGTGCATGTAAATAAAGGTGTGTAGCCTTTTAAATAAGTGATGATTTATCTTGAAAACCAAACAAAGAAATGGTTTTCTGCGATTCATTCAGGCAGAATTAATGGTTTTCTGTAATTCACTCAAGCAGAATCAAATTCCACTCAAGCAGCTTCTGGAAGAGTGTAGCATTGGTTTAGAAAGAGTAAAACTGTATCAGTTGCTTTGAAACTGCTCGAGGGGATCATGTGATTCTGTTCCCCAAAAAATTATATATTATTTTTATTCATGCATTCCAATGTCTCTCTTTATTTTTTTATAAGACTACTACATGTCTGAGTTTCTTAGAGCTTACTAAGTCTTTAGAAACCTTTTTGCACTGACTCACTTTTGACTCACTTTTGTGATTGACTTTGTGAGAATTAAGCTATTCATAGTCGTATTATTTTTCTAATAAACATATCACATTGAGTTGGTTTTGAGTTGGTTTTGTATCTGTAAGAGTTTTACTGCTACTGTAACAAACCCACCAAAGATAATAGACACAAAACAATACAAAGAAACAATCCCCTTCAACAGATCAGTACTAACAATTCTACATATGAAACTCAATAACACTTCCTATCAACAAAGCACATATTGATAAATGAAAAAGCAACTGCTTTCCAACCATATTAAATATCTTAGAAGGAAACATCCCGAAAATCAAATGATACTGCCCTCAAACTCTCTCCAACAGCTCCACACCAAATCATGAATAATCCTATAATATAAATATATAAAAAAGCACACCACCTTTTCCACATATCAAATTCAATTCGGTTTCAGTTATTGATGTTCTGTTGAATTTGTTTCTGCAAATATAACTTTGGATATGTTGGATGTGGCAGTTCTTTGTTAATCAGCAGATTAGGTTTTGTTCTGGCAAATGGATGTGGTAGGTCATTGTAGTGGACATCTTGCCCCCATTCATATACTCTTTGAGTGTGATTAACAAAATGTATCTTTCTATGAAAATGGAAATTTGGATTTTTTAGTATAGAAATTTCGAATAGAATTCTTTAGTGATCTAAATAGTATTTTGTTTTTTTTTAAAAGAGTTCCAACAACCTTGAACATTTAATTTAATTTGAATTTTTTTATCACATATCCACAACTATAACAACAAAGACCCTATACACGCACAGAACACGCTCATGGATTAGCCTAGTTTTTTTCTATGTTATATACTTAAGTGCAAAAGTTTTCTTCTCAAAGTCATGCAACTCAACTCACTTGCTATCTAACTTTTGAGAAAAGAAAAAAAGATAACATATTCTAAGGCTTGCCTAAAAGCAAAAGCTATTCTAAATTAAAGAGCAACATGAAAAGTGGAGAATAAATGAATGAAAGATGTCCAACTCATGTACCACTGGATAGTGGGAAGAGGACCGAAATGGAAGAAATTAGAAATCCCCCACCTTGAGAATTGACTCCAACTGAACTCAACATCATGAAACCAAAATTATGCGTAAAGCATGTACAAACCCAATTGAAAGAACTGGAACTATTTCTACAACCCATGAAAAAGTCAGTAAATAAAATCAAGTGAAAGAGAAACTGTAATTCGGCACACAGAAATTAAGGAAATAATTATAAAAATAACTTCTGAGATTAAGACACTTAAAAATATTAAAGTCTATACTCATGCAGTAAAATAACTATCCCAAAAGGCAGTAGACTAATACACAAATTAAGTTGTAAAAGATTGAACAGAGAAACCCTTCACCAGCACCAGCTTCCCAGAGAGAAAACAAACTTTTAACTTCTAAAGATTAAGCACAGCAGGGGTGCTCAAGGGCAACAGCTAGAATCAATTATTCTAACCTTTCTTTATAGTACTATCATCCATAGCCTTATACTCCATATTCTTCAAAGCAAGTTCTACTCCATAACCACCCAAGTTTACCGAATCTCTTGTACCAACAGCACCACAATGGTCAATCTCCGCATCACAGCCAGAAGGCAATACTTGTCTAGCAACATACTTAACTTTTCCCTGGAAGTTAGCCAATGTATGAGCAAATATAGCATAAAATCACACATAAAAATTAGCAAACAATCAAAGGTATGTATGATGCGCATAAAATAATGCATGCATCACTCACCTAATATATATACCACTACATATAAATGTACGCATATAACAGAGCTATTACACAGCTGGTAAACATGACAGCATCATGATAATTTGGTAATATTAGTGGCACATTACACTTCGACAAGTTAATAAAGGAAAAAGTAGAAAATGAACAAAAAGAATACAAAGCTGACACGTTAAATCAATTATTTCCCTCATGTTCACTACCGTACATCCAGGCATTATGTGTTTCAAAGAGTATCCCTACAATTAACAGACAAATTGGTATTTGCCAATGCTATTACATTAGTTCTACGCTTGTAGCATGATCAGAAACAAAATACACTACATCTTATGTTGCAAAAAGTGTTTCTGTTGGTGAGAAGTGTAGATTCAGTCACTGCTTCAAATGTCTAACGCCAACCGCCTCTATTAGAAACATTTTTAAATCTGCCCTATGGTTTATAAGCTTAAATGAAATGCAGGTCAAAAAACAAAAGAAAGATACATGGTAATATAAGCCTCTAATTTCTATAACCAGTTGGTATGTGCAATTTATGTTGCTCAAGTGAACAAAAAAAATTCTAAGAATCCAAAATTACTTTTACTTTGCTACACCTAAATATATTGGGCTATATTCACCTTCCCTGATGTATTATAATATGATTGATAGCCATTTCTAGATTTCTAATACAATTTTTTTTGCTTTGAATACCAGCGATAGTCTAAATTACTCTAAATTAATCTAACATACAGGGAGGGGAATTCGAACTTGGGTGCAAGGGGGTGGGCTCACTGCCCTGGCCAACTAGCCTAACCCACGTTTGCGACTTCTAATACAATTATTCCAAATTGAAAACAAATAAAAATCTAACGTAGTATGAGTAATCACTCTAATGTCCAAGAGGATATTAAAGTGAATAACACAAGTTGCGAACCTCTTTTGCAGCTTCAACTAGGGTGAGGTGGAACTCCCTAAAGCAATCAGTTCCAAGAGCTCCATAAAGAACAGCAACCGGACTTCCAACACTTGAATCAAAATGGATGTGATCAAATTCGAAAATTTCAGGCTGTTGAAATGAATCTCCAGAGCTGAAAACCAAGAAATATAAAGTGAGGAATTGCGCCCAATATGGCTTCTTTTTTTAGAGTGATAGGCAGAGATAGATAACAAAGCAAAATGAAAGAGCAGTTCTTACGACTCTCTGGGACTATGAAGCCAAATTTTCAAATCTGCAGCATCAAATAACAGTGCACCTCCAGTATCCACCCAACAACATTTCCCATTAGGGCTTTTTGGGTTTAGACCAACATTCAAGGGATCTGACCTTTTACCTTCTACATGCTCGCTCGAATTGCTTTCATCAACCAGAGGAAAAGAAGATAGAGACTCCTCAGCTAGTTGTCGATAAAGCACCAATGTTGGAGATGCAGATCTCAGCATAAGAGAGAATTCAAACAGAGATGCCAGTGGTTCACTTAAAATAGAGAGGCCATGTTTTACAATTTTTCTTAAGCAATCTTTAGCGTTATGAGAATTAACATCATCCTTCTCACTCTGATGCCAGACCTCAACAAAGTCCCAAAAAAGGTCTTTCTGTTCTTTTGATAGTAATTCACTGCGTATAACAAAAGACGGAAGATAATAATAGCTTAAGAAAGGCACAACATAGGAAAATAAACTGTATTTACAAAATCAGGGAAATTTCAATTACTGATTTCAATTACATTTCAACACCAAATTTTAACTTATCTAACAAATAATCATCTAAAAGATATGATTCTGTTCTAACCATCATATGAGCACAATATTATGATGTATCCTACTGGAACATGCATGCATTTCCAAGTTCCAAGACAAAATTATATCCCAAAACTCAAAACCACCTCAAAACTCTCGTCCCTTTTAGAATTTCCAGAGGGAGCAAAGGGCTTGTGTTTATGACACGTTTATTCTGACCTAAACTTACATTCAAGACCATGATCCCCTTTAAGATTCAGTGACTCCTGTTTGGAAAGATTGTGGAAAACTCATGGGACAAATTTCACAGCCCCAATGCTAGTTTCTCCATGAAAGGACTCATACTTTTGGTCATCTATAGGGAAAAAAATTGATTTTTGAATAATGTCACAACAATTGCCGTCTAAACTACATAAAATTAATGAATTCTTTAAATTTCTACATATACTAGAAAGAATAAAGGAAAGTGTCCAAATCAGTTTAAGATTGACTATCTCCATACCAAAAAAAAACTGTTAGATATCATTTACTTTTCTGCTTTCTAACATTTCGACGCCTAACTCTCGCCATTTTAACTTCATTTTACCATGTTGGAATTATATCTGTTGAGGCATTGCTCATTCCATGGTTGCCAAAACGCACTCCTATTCAACCATCATTTTCCATTTCTTTTGAATAAGGGCAAGCAAATTCCCATTCGTCAAAGCATGCGCTTTGCATTAAATCATGGAAAGAAAAACTTACGCAAAATTTAACAGAATTAATGAGAATAATAAGCAAGCATTCACATTCATAAATGCATATGCAACCTACCCAGCTTCTAGGAGCAATGGAGTACCGGACCACTTGGCCCGAACCGCAGCTTGAACATTCTTAGGTCTTCGATTCTGAGCAGAAACCGAACCAATTCCAAACACTCCCAAACAAATCACGATGGTCACAGCCCAAAACACGAATTTAAAACGGGTCCCCATTTGCAGTTACCAAATGAAACAGAAAGAGTTGTGATCCTTCAAAGGCATGCGAGTCCAAACAGATCCGCCATTGATGAATCAGAGAACGAACGTCATGTGGGATTTTCCTTTTGTTAGTTTTAGGTTTTTCGGCTGAGAGCGAAGACTGACGAAGAAGACGACTCTGTGTCTGTGAGAGTGAGGAGACTGTTTTAACGGTTCTATTGGTCTTTGTATGAAATACTCAAGGGCTTTTCTGGAAATTGAGTGTTGGTCGCCACGTCATAGTATGACATGGTGTTCTGTGATTGCATGGCGTTCTGAGTACGGAACGTGGCCATTCGTTATAGGCTCGCTACTCGTCAGGCTTCGGCGCTGATTTTGAGCCCAAAGTTCGACTCTCGGATCGGGCTGCAACAGATATTTTTTTTTTTTTTTTTTTTTTTTTTGGGGAACATATGCTTTATTAGAACACCATAAGAGTAAACAATGGAGAGGATGAAAACATCCAAAACCCAACGAGAAAGCCAGAAACAAGAACGTGATCTTAAAAAGATCCGCAGCCTGAAACAAAGAAAACGAAAAAAAGAACACTACTACCCAAAAAAAAATATTTATATATATATATGAGTGACTGGATCCAATGATGGAGCAATTGTCGCCTCATTAAAATATTGCCTTAAAAAACTCCCAAATTAAGAAAAATTTGGTCAAGAAAAAAGAGTACCACAGTAAAACTTGCTTATCAGCAACAACAAACAGGCAAATTTGGGCTAATAGATAATGAACAGATGTTGCACAAAGCGGCCCAACAAAGCCCAATCCACGAACTAAGGTAAATGCTCCAATGCAAATATGTCTTGGAACTGCCACAGTGCGAAACTGTCTTGTAATTTGATCTAATTGATTAGAGTCTATAAGTACGTGTTTGGTTGGAAACTTGGCTTGGTTATTGGATAGAGGAAGAAGTTGCACTAACTCCTAGTGGTCTTGGGTTCGAAGGTTGGTACCACATTCTCTACAGTTCCCTAAACTTTTATCTAATAGAATTTTGGTTTTTTCAGGGAATGGGTCTGTTTAAGTAGTGTTTTGTTTAAGGGAAATTTGCATAAATATCCCCTGAATTTTTAGACTTGTGTGCAATTCCACTTGAACTTTATAATGTTGCAATGTACCACCTACGGCTAACTCCGTTAAACCTTCTGTTAAGTTTAATGGTATTTCGGTCAATTCCCTGTAACAATAAAATTTAAATTTGTTAAAACGAACATAATCGTGTTATGAAACAAATAATTTAAAAAAAAATAACATAACCTCACTAGCCCCTTCCAACTCCAATTATGCTGTACTGCCATGCCCCCGTCCCCCACCCTTTACAATGTCTTCAACTTCTCTCTCTCTCTCTCTCCCAGTCTCTTTCTCCACCGAAGAAGAATATTATTCTTCTATAGCCATATTGCAATTACTCTCAATACTTTTTGAAGGTTCATATGTCAAACAGCATATCTATCTTTTGATCACTCAATTCTTCAACAATCTATATCAAATTTTGTTGGATTCGGAGGAGGGAAACAGTGGGAAAGGGAGAGAGAGGTATAAAGCAGGGTTTACGCAGAGGGTGGGATAGGGAGGTAGTGGGTAGCGGTGGAGAATTGGTGTTGGAAGATCCAGGAATAAAATATATATACATTTATAATTCTATTACTTTTAGAAATTTTAAATTTTTTTAGTTATAAAAGTTGACCGAAATGCCATTACATTTAACAAAAAGTTTAACGGAGTTAAACGTAAGTGGTACATTAGAGCAGGTCCAGCGCAGGACCCAAATTGGGGGAAAGGCCCCCCTGGCGAGCTCGAGATGGCTCCAGCGCAAGAGAAGCAGCCCGGTTTAGTGCTGGGTCCCACCAGCTCGGGCAGGCCCAAGGGCAACTTCCGCCTGGGCTTCAGCCCGAGTCTTATGAAGTCAGCACATGGTAAACCAAATTTTTTTTACCGTTGGCATGTGAATTACACGCGCCAACGGTAAAAAAAAATTTGATTTCCGCACACTGACGTCAGCGCTGGCAGAATCCAACGGTAAAGTGCCATGTGTCGCGACAGGGACCCTTTGATCGTTTTTTTTCCAAAAATCCAACGGTCCTCGTTTTTTTGGCTAAAAAAATTCTGAATATTTTTATAAAAAAAATACCAAAAAATTATGTATTTTTTCCCTATAAATACCTAACCATTTTATTCACTTTCCACACCAAATCTTCATAAAAACTCATCTCCTTCCAATATTTTTCACTTTCCACACCAAATTTTCTACTACAAAATTTCATTTGTGCAAAAATACAAATGTCATCTTCCATCGAAGCCGGAGGGTCGTGGACAAATGTTCGAAGAGGTCAAAATCTTGGCAAAAAAAAAAAAAAAAAAAAAAAAATAAAAAATTTTATTCAATTTAATGTCTTTATATATATATATATATATATATATTTCTTGCATTTCCAATTTCTTTTTTTTTAAATAGATTAGTCAAGGCAAAACAAAAAAGAGGAAAACCATTACACATGGCTCCTCAAGTGAACAATGCCCGCAGTCAGTTCCAGTGGTGCGTTCCGTGTAAAAAATAATGGCACTATTACGTCCTCCGAAGGAAAATACTCCCCCACGTCGTGATCCGGTGGAACCGCCTCCGTCAATGATAGAGTTGTCCTTGTATTCCATTGTGTCGGACTATGATGACTAAGAATATTTCAATTGTATGATGAGTGAGATGTGAATTTTATAATAAATATGGACACGTGGTAACCGAAAATTTTATCTATTTATCCGAAAATGGTTATCTTAAATTTTAAGTGAAAATTTTATAATAAATAATAACACGTGACAACCGAAAATATAATCTAAAAAACTTATCAAAATTAATGGTTTAAAGTATAAAAAAATAGGAAATAAAGTACAATGAATAGTAATTACCTTAGACTTGCCATAGACTTTGTCCTCATGGGTGGAACCACAAATGCAAAGGCTGACACTATTCACGTGAATAGTGGCAGCCCTTGCTTGCCTTTACCTTAGACTTAGCCCTTGTGGGTGGAAGTGCTCTAACAACACCAAATAAAGTGCAAGTGGTTAATAATAGAAATTAAAAATTCATGTGCTAATTTCGCACATACCTAAAAGTTCATATGGTATTTATACAAATTTCCCTATGTTTAATAAGCTTAGCCCACTAAGGCTAAAGGACAATTTTGATCTTTCTAGTTGTGGTGAAGTGACTTAAGACCCTCCATCATGAAGGCACATATGCATATCACAATAGTTTTTCACTAAATTACATTTTAGGTAATGTATTTACTCATTTACTATTTTGGTAATTTTTTTTTAAATAAAAAGGCGAAATACTTATTATTTTAATTTAGAAAATTTTCATGTAGTTTTGTTTTGTTTGCATTTAATTCTAATATGTAAATTTTGTCGAATTAATATACGAAGTTTTTTTTTTAAATTAAAGATAAACTTTAACAATACAATCAAAGACATCAACATGATATCTAAAGCAACAATCCCCAGAGGACAACAAACTTAAAAAAACAAAATTATAGCAGACAAAAGCCACAATAAAACTATTAGCCTACATCACAACAATTAAGCATAGTCTCAAACAAAGCCCATAAACCAAATATAGCCAAAACCCTAAAGCAACCTACCAACCTAAATGAACCCTATGAAGGAAAGATTGTGTTTTTCTCAAAAACTTAGGTTCATTTTGGTATCTAGATAACAAAATTCATATATTATGCAATAGAATACATTAAAGAAAATCCTATAGCCTAAAAACAAAACATTTCGAAGGATCTTAAGGTTCAAGTGGTTGATGTGCATAAGAAAACAATTTTACAAGAAAGCAAAGAGAGAATGATGAAGAGGAACCCACAAGCCCAACTTGAGTCTTACTCAAGTCTTCCACCAAGGTTTGGTGGTTGGATTCACTTTGTCCTTCTAGTTGCAAAGAAGTAACCTCCAATGTCTCCACATCAAGCTTGATTTGGAAAGGAAGATGAGACACAAGGGGAGCTAGTAATGCTAGCAACTCTCCCCTTGGTGGCCGGTTTTAGCTTGCCAGGGAGAGGAGAGATTTTGTTGATTTCTTTTTCTTCCTCCTTAAACTTCCACAACTAAAAACCCTAGAGAAAAATGAGAGAAGGAGATGCTTTTATAAAATCATAAGAGAGAATCCTTTAGCAAAAGAGTGAACAATTAAACCAAAACAACAACCCTAACAAATATCAATTGGGTGATTTGCACCAAACTCCATCAAATACGATGGAGAACCAAATTTAAGAAATATCAGCAGTTTTAGGAGAATGATTTGATTGAGAACATAGCCCGAAAGAGCTGATGGGGAACTTCAATCTAAGCATTGCTCAGAAGAAATCACCACAATGGACTTTTTATTCAACACACCCTAGTGGACTTAATCACTAACCCAAAAGAAAATGTAAATAAGATAGGGTGGGGAAGAGGGACAATAACACTTCTTCCTTATCCCCCATATATTGAGTTTGGAGTTTTTTGGGACTTACAAGGGAGAGAGTGAAGGAAATGTGCTATATTTTGAAAAATTCATTTAAGCCACAACCTAGATTAACTATTCATTTAAGCAACGAAAGCTATTTAAGAAATATTGAGCTTAAAATCAAAACTTTTCACCATTAGAATATGTGTTAAGTGTTCCATAACTTTCTCTACCTCTTCACTTTAATGAGAGATGAGAACTTTTACCTTTGAAGCACCACTTGAGGAATCTCAACATCTATCACCCAAGGGAGGGCCTTCTTCTTTGGTTCTCAAGAAATAGCCTAAAAAATGTGAGACCTCTAAGTTCACCATACCAAAGAAATGATGAAAAAGATGAGTGAAACCTTGAGATGAATTAATGCTAGTGAACTCTCTTAAGGGATGGCCGGTTTTAACTATGGAAGAGGAGAGCTTGATGGTTCTCTTCCTCTTCACACAAATAGCACAAAACCCCTAACTCTTCAAAGAGGCAAAATATAGCCCCACATGAAGGAGAGATAAGTCTCCCTCTAGGTAAAACCAGTCATGGGTCTTTATTGGGCCTCTTAGGCTCATGTGGTGATCCTACTATGCCCACATGTTATAACTAGCCCAATGAGTCCAAGTCCAATGGGCCTTGAACCCGGTTTTGTACTTTAGGCTCAAATTAACCTTTTTTCACATTCTCTTAATTAATTTAATCTCTATTAAATTAATAAGTCAATGATCATCATTATTTTTCCTTCAATCCAACCTTATCGGTGTGTGATCCATTAGATTCTAATCGGCAAGGTAGTGGGCGATCCAAAACTCTTTATTGATCGATTGTGAATTAAAACCCAATTTTAATTCTCTCTTTATGAGGACTTGATTGTGGTGTGTGCTTAGGGCTACCACAAACCGTGAGTGACGTCTAGCAGCATATCACGGTTATCCAAGCCAATATAGAATGAGGTTGAGAGCCTATTCAGTTGAAATTACAATGTAATACAGTCTTTCTCTATCTCAATGCTCTTGATCACACTTATTAGGGCACCGAATTTATGTCAAGCCGCCTAATGTGAATCAGCTTATATGACTCATAAGAGCACAATTAGAATCATCATTCTCAATTCTGCTCAATGCTTTAGCCAAAGCCTTCCGAGTCATATTGTCATAGCATTCTCCCTCTTTACTGAAGGTTGAGATTCTTTGTTGTACACTCACCTGCCTCTATGGATTGATCATGAACCTCAACCATACCATAAAGTCATGCCCTTGAGAGAACCCAGCTATTTAGTATAACCTCCTAGCCACTTTCCCCACCCACACCTCAATGCCCCCAATTCCCAAAGCCACCTCCCAGTCAATTTTGTAATGGGTCGTTTAAACCCTTGCTTAGTTTCTCAGAAAGTTGAGGGAAGCCAAAATAATGGAATTTCTTAAATTTTTAGAATGTTTTCTTATTTGGGTTTTCGAAGATATTGTCTTTTTAACTCAATTATGAATGGTACTTACTTGTATTAGGCTCAGTTGGGGAAATGCTAATTTAGTTTTTCAGATGTCCTATCCATAAAATGATGTTAATTGGGAATGTTTAAGTTAATTCAAATTTTTATTGATTTTAACAAGGTTTAAAGGTTTTTAAAAGACAAAAAAGTGGATAATGTTTATTGAACAAAAAATGTAACAGATTGGATTATATTTGCTAATTATTCTAAACACATAAACTAAATTGGCTAACACAATAAAACACAGGGATCATTTTGATATTTAAGCCTAACAATATGTAGGACCATTCACGTTACATCAACCTAATTCTGCATTATATAATTCATCCAACCACATTGTTGGCATTATATGTGAGAGAGAGAGAGAGAGAGAGAGAGAGAGAGAGAGGAGAAGGTTTGTGGTCAAGCAAACACAAGGCCAAAATTTGCAGAGTACGTACCCCACTTTCATTCGCATGTAGACTCAATCTCTCTCTCTCTCTCTCTCTCTCTCTCTCTCTCTCTCTCTCATAATCAGATTGCAGAACACTACTAGTACTACCAGTTTGATTGGTAGGACCACCACCACCGACTCTCCAATCTCCCACATCCACAATAATTTCATCATAATCAGATGCCAATACTTGCCTCCACTACTTCTTCCATCAATGTCCATGCCTTCAGAAATAACTTCAGCCCCACCCCCCTACTTCCCTTTTGGTCTTCAAATGAACTCATATTGGAGTTCAATTAAGATTTTCAAGAATATTTTTAATGGAATATTAATTCAAGTTTGGTCCATACAATAATATTCTTGATCAATATCACCCACTAGCTTCAGAAGCTGCCTCCAACAAGATGAACAAGGTTTGCAGCTGCAAAACCCAAAATGGCCACTCCCATGCTCATACCCAGAAGCAGCAGCAACCTCATGATGATCAAGATCATCGTCAAGATGTAAACTTGTACTCCTCTTCGTCGTCGGATCTCAATTTAAGGAACATTTCAAAGCTTATCCTTCCTCCTTTGGGTGCTTCAAGCTACAACCAATCTCCAATTCACTCAAATGGCTGGATAATCTCCCCCATGGATTCAAGATACAGGTACAATAGTACTACACAACCACAATATCTTACCTTTTTTTTTCTTTTCTTTTTTTATACATATAATTAATTAACTATGGAAAAAATTGGTGATTTCTTCTTCATATCCTTCTCTTTCTTTTTCTGCATTCTATATATATATATTTCTGGCTGAAGATGTAATACTTGACCCTTGAACTTAAATCTTTTTTTGTACAAAATACAAAATTACACACACATATATATATATATGTCGCGGTACGTAATATCATATGCATGTATCAGTAACCCTAGGAGCACATGAACAGGTATGAGACCTAATAATTAAGTGTTTTGCCCAACTCATAAGCTAGCAATTAGGGGTTAATCACCAATTTTAGGCAGCTAACTATAATCCACTAAATTCATTATCTCACCTCTTAATTAATTAATTAATATACAATATTATGTAATTAACCATAGCTTCTTTTTATTTTCTTATTTTCTAAACTTACGTGCCTACACTATAAAGAAATTTTGAGATATCTTCCAATGTTGGGAAGAGAAATACAATTAAGCTAACAACTGGTTTGTGTATAACAAGATAATCGGGCTTTTCGACAATAATCGTCTATTTCAATATGTGATATTTCATTTTCTTACGTTTGAGTAAAACAATTGTTTTTAATTTTTTGGCTATGTATTAAGGTGTTGGGAGACATTTATGGTACTTTTGGTGGCATACTCGGCGTGGGTTTACCCCTTTGAGGAGGCATTTCTCAACTCCTCTTCATACAAGCCACTATACCTAGCAGACAACGTGGTGGATCTATTTTTTGCCATCGATATCATCTTGACATTCTTCGTTGCATATATTGATCCAAGATCTCAGTTACTTGTTCATGACTCCAAAAAGATCGCTATGAGGTTAGTTCTTAGGCTTCTACTTCAATTTCAATTACATATATTAAATTTGCAAATGATTTTAAAAACAGTATTACAAAACGTCCGTGAGGTGTACGAAAATATTTATGAAATAGGATTTTAATTAAAGAGACGGCCACCGACACACAAATATTAATCTAGCCATATATCGCTTGTGCTAAAAACTTTAACATAAAACGCACATTTAGCTGAAATAAAAAGCACTACTATGCTTCATATTAAAGCACTTGCAAATAGGATATCAAAATTGATTGAAACTTTGCCCCACTGCAAGATTCTTATCTCAAAAAAAGTGAAAGCTAGAAAGACCCAAAAGAAAAAGGGGAAACACAAAATAGAAAAAAAGGCCTACCTTTTTACTTTCAGGTTGTTTTATTATGACCGGAATATTTGTCACAACAACAATTGCGATGACATCCTCACTTTATTTGTGGGAAACAAGAAAGTTCGATAAGAGTATCTCATGACTCATTTTGATGAGAGGATGACTTTTGAGTGATATTTGTTTATTTTATTGTTAATGTTAATTACATGTTCACATTGATGTGTGTTTTGTCACTTAAACCACATCTTTTTAGAGAAGAGTAATTTTTTGCTCTTGAAACTCCTACGTGACCAATTAGAAATATACACTTGTTCAAACATTAAAACCCCCCAACCACCACCCCCCGTCGCGCGGCGGGACCCGAGTTATAAATTTTTAATTTTTCAATTTGTTTGAACCTATTCATGATTGGGCTATGTGTTGATTGTCTAGCCTCTTCTTTTAGGAGCTAAGCATTTTGATGAAGTTCAATCATACTCCTTGAGATTTGGTCTAATTATAGTCAGACTCTACAAATTTCATTTATTTCGGGCCCGTTTGATAACAATTTCAATTTTAGATTTTAGTTTTTATTTTTGATGCTAGAGTATATAGGAAAATGAGAGTCAGAAATGAGAGTGATGATGAGATTGAGAGAGGATCAAGGGAAATGATGAGAATGAGGAGTAATAAAAGTGAAAACATATAAAAACACTTTGTTGAAATTAAAGTAAATTAAATTTAAATTTAATCATATGTGAACTATAGCCAAAGGGCATTACTGTCATTTAAATATTAAAAAAACACTTTTTATTTAGCCAATAAAATTTTAAAAATGGGAAACAAATCATTTGTCATCACTGTTGGAACGTTCGGTTTGGGGCTTGGGGAATGGTGGGCGTGGTGGTGGGATCGTCGTGAGGGGATTTTGGGTGAATGGGATAAGGATTCGTTGGTGGTGGCTAAGATGGGTCCCTTTTTTTTTTGGTGGTTTTTTTTGTAGTTTTAATATATTTTTTAAATTTTCAAATGTTTATCAGTATTTTTAGCTCACTTCAAATATATAAAGAAAAAAAAATTAGGGACCTTAAATGTTTATTTATTTATAATCTTAAATGAGTTTAACATGTTTAATTTAATTTTGATTTAGGGGAAGGGGCGTATAATTCGTCATGTTTTCTCAAGTTTGGTTTTCAAATTTATGTTTAATTAAGTGTTTCTTTTTAAAAAATTTAAATGTTTATGATTTAATTTAATACTTTCAAATAGGATCTAACAAACATAGTCAACTCATGTGATTTGTGTTAAAATTATGAACATCAGAGGGTGTAAGTGAAATAAATGAAACATGTGGAGTTTGATTGTAATTAGACTAAAACTCATGGGGCATAACTAAACTTCTCTCCTAAATTGGCAAAAATCACCCTTAAAGTTCCTTGTTACACTATTAATTCATTCATTTTCTGCTTAATATTCATGCTGAATTCGAGCCGTGTTATCGTGTCATTTCAAACATCGGCACCCCTATGTAAATCTCATGGCTCTATGTCTCTATGTCTCCATGTACTTAATTCAGTTTAGAAAAATTAAGCATGTACTCAAGAAGGGAATTTAACTTTGAAATCATCATACCCTCCGCCTAATAACACCTAATTACAGGTAAGAGGTGTCACTGTAACTAATTCGTTGGTGGTAGGCTTATTAGCAAACTTGACAAGCCCACGCTGAATAGGAAAATGAGGCAATGAAGACTGAATCTTATTGTTGGCTTAGGAAGTATACATAATTGGGATTACTTCTCTTTTTCTTCTAATTCCCACCCCAAGAACTTACGTTCTCCGCTATCATATTCATATTTTACTGAAATTGAATTATTTCATCTTTTTTATTTATTTATTTATATACAAACGATATTATCATATTAAGGAGGGGGAATCAGACCTAGGACCTCGGATGCATGAATAAATACTCCTCTTGCATTATTACTTCATCCTTAAGGCACTAACACGACTGTTCCTTTTTCTTTTTTCTATTTATTTAGTGTTGATTGATTGTTACATTTTAATTAAGAGCTAAATGATGGATTTGGCATAAATATGAGTAATTGTTGTTAAATTAATAGGTACCTTTCAACTTGGTTTGTGATGGATGTGGCATCAACATTGCCATATGAGGCACTTGGCAAAAACAAGTTGGGTGTTTCTTACTCTCTCTTAGGGTTGCTCAGATTTTGGCGAATAAGACGAGCAAAGCAACTCTTCACAAGGTTGGTATATTATACCTTGTGCATTTGTCTCCAATTCCATTATATGTTTTGTGACTCAAATTGCATGCATTATGTCATCTTCCTTGGCAGACTTGAGAAGGACATCAGGTTTAGCTATTTTTGGGTCAGATGCGCCAGACTTTTGTCAGTAAGTAAAATTTTGCACCTAGTCCTTTATATAGCATATACTTTTTTACAAGAGAGAATGAACAGGTAGGATTAGGTCAGCTACCTACTCCCCCAATAATCTAATTCATGATTTTTCAAGCATTAAATTAGGAATTTTAGTGTGTAATTTACATAAATTTTTTATTCCTCATGTGTTAGTAAAATACACGAGAAGTCATTATCACCTTATAATTCATTTGATGAAAATCTAATGGCTTCAAACATCCTCGAGTAATACTTCTAGAAGATTCCTTTTTATGAATAGCGGAGGAGGAATTTGAATTTAAGAAACTCTTAAATAAAACTGGTTGATTACTCCACAAGAATGTTTAAGGCCCTCAAATGATATATAGGTGCTTGATAAGAAGTTACCTTAATTTTAAAAAAATTCCGGTTGAAAGTCTAATTTTTTTTTTATTGTAAAGGAAGTTACCTCAAATGATATACAGGATGCATTTTAATTTAAGAGATTGATCAATTTTGCTTCCTATATACAGGTGACACTGTTTTCAGTACACTGTGCTGGATGCCTCTACTACCTGCTAGCAGACCGATATCCACACCAAGGGAAGACATGGATTGGAGCTGTCATTCCAAATTTCAGAGAGACAAGCCTTCGGATCCGATACATTTCTGCTATGTACTGGTCCATAACCACCATGACCACTGTTGGTTATGGCGATATGCATGCAGTTAACACCATGGAAATGATCTTCATTATTTTCTACATGCTCTTTAACCTTGGCCTCACTGCTTACTTGATTGGCAACATGACAAACTTAGTAGTTGAAGGCACTCGTCGTACCATGGAATTTGTAAGTACTCTTCAAATTACCTACGCACTACATGTTATTGACCGACACTCTAAAAAAATTATCTTGTCCTCCTTTTCTTATTGTCAAAGGAAACTGCACTCTGAGCTGTGCATGATGACTTTTTCGACGTACCAATAACAACTGTCCAAAATTTTATATCGATGATATAATGTACAGAGAAATAGCATTGAAGCAGCATCAAATTTTGTGTGCCGCAATCGCTTGCCTCCACGGTTGAAGAACCAAATATTGGCTTATATTTGCTTGAGATTTAAGGCTGAGAGTTTGAACCAGCAGCATATAATTGAACAACTACCCAAATCGATCACCAAAGGCATCTGCCAGCATTTGTTTTTGCCAACAGTGGAGAAAGTTTATCTTTTCAAGGGTATCTCAAGGGAAGTACTGCTACTTCTGGTAGGGTAACATACACTCTCCTCTTTCTTCTTTTTTGTCTTTTTGTTCAAGGGAAACACACATTCTGATCCCAGTTCCAGAATCAAAATCATTATTACATAGCTATATAAAGAAGAAGAAGAAGAAGAAGACCAATTACTTATTGGGAAAAACATTTTTTGCAAAGACAAAACTACTAACTGCTTAGACTTAATTTTCTTGCATCTCTTTCAAACAAGGGATTTATTGGTAATGTAGTTTTGGATGTGGATGTACAATTTCCTGCTAAAATATTTGGATTGCAAATTAATGCATATTATGAAACTGTGAATGGAGTGTGAATTTGTACAAATTTTAAAACCTTGATGATGTCTTTTAACAATAAAACCACATTGATGATCAGGTTGCAAAGATGAAGGCAGAGTACATACCACCTAGAGAAGATGTTGTGCTGCAAAACGAAGTGCCGGATGACGTTTATATCATTGTTTCTGGAGAAGTGGAAATAATTGGTTGTGAGATGGAGAAAGAACTAGTTGCTGGGACTTTGAAATCTGGAGACATGTTTGGAGAAGTTGGTGCACTTTGTTGTAGAGAAGTTGGTGCCCTCTGTTGTAGGCCTCAAAGCTTCACGTACCGAACCAAAACACTGTCACAACTCTTGAGACTAAAAACCACTGCTCTGATTGAAGCAATGCAGGCGAAACCAGAAGACAAACTACAAATGCTTAAAAACTTCAAACAGGTTGGTGAACATGGTACTCAAGTTAAATCTTCTTTGTAATAATTCCATTATTATTTCTTTTAGGAAAAGGAAAAGAAAGAAATGACTTACAATCTGCAATATGTTCCACTGAAGCATCACAAAAGGCTGAGGGATCTGAAAATTGGAGAAATATTGGCTGAGAGTGGAGATGAAGAAGGTGACGCAAACATGGCATTCAACTTGCTGACTGTTGCCAGCAAAGGCAATGCTGCTCTTCTTGCTGAGCTCCTCAAGGCAAAGTTGGATCCTGACATCGGAGACTCCAAAGGAAGAACTCCTTTGGTATGCATTTTTAGCCTCAAGTGTTTAGTTTGTTTGTTAATGCCAGACGAAAACAAAGAAAAAAAAACAGAACAAGAAGAACAATATGGAGAAGATAATTCTCCTTTTTACTTTAGAAAGTGAGCTAGTACTTCATCATTTTCTTCTAATTTCAAAAGACTATTTGTTTCTTTTGAATGCATCAGCATGTAGCAGCATCAAATGGGCACGAAGAATGTGTCTTGGTACTCCTCAAGTATGGTTGTAACATACACGTAAGAGGTAATTAAAAATAATAACCACAATCTCCTTGGTACTGTTCTGTTCTTAAACCCATCATCTTATAATCTGTACATTGGCAGACATAAATGGCAACACAGCTTTATGGTATGCTATTGCATCGAAGCACCATTCCATATTCCGGATTCTCTATTACTGCGCTGCCATATCCAATCCATACACGGATGGTGATCTTCTATGCACGGCTGCCAAGAGAAATGATATGACTTTGATGGAGGAACTCTTGAAGCATGAGTTAAATGTTGACGCAAAGAATCATCTTGGGAAAACAGCAGTACAAATAGCCATGGAAGAAAACAATGCAGACATGGTCAATTTGCTAGTGATGAATGGAGCAGATGTAGCCAATACACACAACTTCTCATTTCCTTCAGAAACCTTGACTGAAATGCTACAAAAACGAGAGGTTGGACACCGGATTACAGTTCCAGACACTACACTAAATGAAGTGCCTTTGATGAGGAATGATGATGAGCAAAATCCTGACGTGAGAAAATCCAATATAGTGAACTTTCCAAGAGTGAGCATATATAGAGGCCATCCTATAGTGAGGAGAAACACATGTTGCAGGGAAGCTGGTAGGCTAATTAGATTACCTAATTCGGTAGAGGAGCTCAAAAACATTGCAGGTACTTTCCTTAACACTATGTCTTTATCAATTGCTAAAAGATTGTGGCTTTTCTCAAAGCCAAGATACCTAGCAGAACATGGTAACGTACTGCATGATTTATTCACAAATTAGTGCTTATACTAAAAGATTGTGGCTTTTCTCAAAGCCAAGATACCTAGCAGAACATGGTAACGTACTGCATGATTTATTCACAAATTAGTGCTTATATACGCAGTGAAGATAGTACACAAACCCTTATAGTTTTAGTAGCACAAATTTTAGCCTATAGCATGTTTCTTGTTTTAAAAGATTGCATCTTTTACCACATTTTTCTTATCGAAGCGATTAAGGCAGTTTTGAAATTTTATCCTGTGTATATTTGATTTTGTGGTAGCTATGGATGCTTAGAATTCTTTACACAAATTGGAATTAATATATATTTGAAGAACGTAGTAAGAATTTCTAATATCTTTCATCATCTTAAACAGGTGAAAAGTTTGGATTTGATTCAAGAAATGTATTGGTAACTGATGATGGAGGAGCAGAAATTGACTCCATTGAAGTGATCAGAGATAATGACAAGCTTTTCGTATTTGAAGACCCAAAGTCTATCAAAAGCTGAAAAATCCTCAATCTCCTGAAGCATTATACTTAACCTTGAGGAAGGAAAGAAAGAATCACACTTTTCTTCACGCAAATCTCTTGTAAATATTCCTCTTAGAATGTACACTTAAATCTTGCATAATCAAAGGGTTCCTCTTGTGAGACTACGAGTCTCAGTTTAATTTTTATGCACAATGTAATACATGAGGCTAGGGCGGACTCTAGCCTAGTACAAAGTTTGGGAAAAAGAACTCTAGTATTAATTTTTAGGCATTACAACCTATTTCACAGAAAATTAGTCTATCTCGTAATCAGTTGAAGCTTCAGCGTGTTGAGATACATGACTTCTTGCTTGGCAGTTTTCTTGGGATCAAATCTCTTTGGTGCAGATATCTTCTCACCACGATTCTGAGAAGCATTCACAATATGGAGCTGAATCTAGCATAGCAGTAAGCTATAGTCTCAGATTCATCCATCCTAAGACTTTCAAACTGTGACGTGATCATGCCTCTTTGATGTCCCACAATTCTGTATAAAGTTGAACTGTTCATTGGATACAATTATGAATAAGGCATTTCGGTCTTTTCTATTGGCATTGCTGTGAGTGGTATACTCCAGTATCCATTCTAAATAAGGCGGAGGTACATTCTTCTCATATCGGAAACTTGACAAAATAAAAAATGATATATAATGAGTGGTTCCACTATTAATAACATGGAGGCCTTTTCCTCATCGGTGACCATGATACAAATTTAGAGCACAAAATCTTTCTAGATACCGTAGGAGCTTGGCTCTGATACTAGTTGTAAGTGATGGATGGATCAATACCCCCTGAGCCTATGAGGGGGATGAATAGGCTCTTACTCAAAAAACAGTTTTAAACTAGTTAGCAGGTGTTCAAACAAAGAGGCATTTTGACAAACAAATAGCTCTACTCTAACAGGATATCTTTCTGAACCAAGATTCACACAAATCTAAACAAGTAGATATAACTGTGAATGGATCGATATGAAGTTCATCATCACGATCAACGGTAAATCGAGAAATAGAGAACATAACTACTGTACACAAGAAGATCTGGTCACTCATATTACTTGGTTTTGAACCCTAGCTACTCCTTTTTTTTTAAGAGGAAAAGGGATTTCATTCATAATCCAATAGTTTCATACAAAAGATCAGCATGAACAGTGATCACGTTAAAACCTTCCTAGGAAAATCACGTGGGAAAACCTCCTATGAGAACAATCATAGTCCTTGAACCCTAGCTACACCTTAAAAGGCTATATCTGCTAGGCTTTTGCTCCTTTTGGACATGGTCCATCCTAGGAACGACCTATCACTTTAGAATCATTTGACACATGTGCAAGCTTTATAATATTCCGTTCCATAATCAATTTAGAATGTTGGGTACCGGAAGAGAAACAAATCTCTGTTTTGAACATAAAACTAGTCTCGATACAAAAAATCCATTCATCCATTTCCTTTTCAAAAGTGCCAAAAAAATAATAATATACAGCTTAAGTAGGAAAAGAAAACAAAAAAGGTGCCATGTTGGGAGGTGTAGAAAAATGGGGAAGAGAAGAGGTAAAGAAGCCAAGAGCACTCCATCCAAAAGAGAACCAAATCAAAATGGAAGAATGTGAAGAAGAATCTCATTCAAAGTGGTCAAACTTTACAGCGTAGGAAGCACAATCCAACATCTTGTGTGATAAAGAGCTTGAACATTTTGGCTTGCTTTTTTATTTTTTATTTTTGGGGTTATCTTTTCATATCCTGCCGATGACATTATGGCCGGACCAAAACATAAAACCTACAACATAACCTTTCTTGTTAATTTGAAAGAAGATGAGGGTGAGAAAGTTAGGAAGGTTGATAAAAACAGATTAAATCTAGAATGAAATCAAGTAAGAAAAAGTAAAATGAAGAGAAGTTGACAAACATACTCCTAAGTTTTCTCTTTCTTTCTCTCTCTACATATTTCTTTATTTATTATATGCCCACTTAACCATGAAGCAGAAGATATTCCCAATCATCCCCTCCACTCCACCCTGTAGGAAACACCCATAATTTCACCAAACAACATTATTAACCTATAGAAACTTGAGCTCCTGAAGCAACCCACTTATTTCATTGCTTATATTTTTCTTCTTCTTAAAATATATACCTATAAATGTCCATCATACTCTCACCACCATACCAATATCCTTCCCTTTTCTTTATCATCTTTATTCCATGATGGATCCTTCATGCACCTCAACTTCTGTCAGTGGCTTCTACAACTTTCTCACTCATGAACTCAACAATCTTGATCAATCTTTCCTCTCCCATAGTTTCATGTCAATCCAATTCCTTCAGAAGGTACTCTCATCTCTCAAGTCCTTCCATTATCAGTTGACCACTTTGGTTCAAAAGCTTCACTTACCCATAGGAGAGAAGTGGCTCGATGAGTACATGGATGAAAGCTCCAGGCTCTGGGAAGCCTGCAATGTTCTTAAATTAGGAGTCTCTTGCATGGAAAATGTTTTCGCAGCTGGTGCCAATGTCCTGTCCTCCACAGATGAGTTCCACTACTACTTGAATGAACAAACTTCTAACCAGGTTAGTACAATGTAGTCAATTTAAATTTTATAAAAAAATAAAAAAAATTATTCCACTACATATACATATAGGAAACATATGCATGGGTAGTGCTGTCTTACATATTCATGTTGCCAGACATGCTTATGTTGTTAAAATGTGAATCTGAACGATGTATATGAATCAACCTAATGCTCACTTTTTTGCCTAGGTTATCCGGGCAGTAAGTGCATACCAAATGGAAATTATTGGTTTGGAACATGATAATAAGGCCTTGATGGAAACAAGAATTGAGCAGCTATCACTACGCATCAATGAAAACATTATCTCAATGGGGTCCAAGTTCAATGGGTTCAGTGGCTTTCGTGGCGTCATGTATGCAATGAGGAACGTCAGCTCATTGCTTTTGATGATCCTGCTAAGCGGGATTGTATATTATTTGCCAGGATCAAGTTTTCAAAAGGAAGGAGGGCTGGAAGGCAGTTTGATATTTGGCTCAAATTTCATGGTTTCGGTAGCAAGATTGCAGCGAAGAGTGGCTAATGAGTTCGAGCAGATCCCTGGGCCGCCTCATGGATTGCTTCTTCATGAGTTCCGGGAAACGAAATCTGCGATGGAGGAGGTGAGAGGTGAGTTGGAGAGAATGGTGGAGCATGAAGCAGAGATTCATGATATCCAAGATAGGGTCGACAAGTTGAAAAGTTGCTTTGGGTTGTTGAGAAGTGGGGTTGAGGCTATAATTGAGCAGCTTGATGACTTCTTTGATGAAATAGTGGAGGGAAGGAAGAAGCTTTTGGACATGTGCACTCATAGGTAGACAAAGAGTACGTTGGACGTGATCAGCCTAAGCTAGGTGGGGAACATATGGAAACAAAAGAAAAAGGAAATGATAAAGAGACAGAAGGGTAATCAGTATTTTAAAAACATATTTTGTTGAACTTGGATATGAGCTCCTTGATTGTAATCATTGATTTCCAAGTAGTCTATATAAGGGGAGATTTAAACTTAAATAGTTGTTAGAATGTGGTCCAATATGATTTAAACTACTCATGCACCTATTTCGTTTCCCATGTACGTAAATAGTATGAGCACGCCTCCGCACATGTGAATCAAGCTAAACACGTAGAGAACACATACTATGGTTTTGATACTCAAAACCAAAATTAATTGGCAATAAGTGAAGATACTCAAAATCATTTAAACTACTACTGGTGCACGGGTTTCATTTACTCTTAACAATAGTTAAACACAAAAGTTCATATTATTATTACTACTTATACTTTGATTTTCAATGCACGAGTTAGATTAAAGACCAAGGGAAAGGATTTAGATACTATAAGTTGTCACCAATTTCTTTTGTTGTTTTCTTTTCCCTTCTTCTTTATGCTTTTTATGCTTTCTTTTCCTTTATGTACGGAGGCAATAGCAATAAATAGTAATGAAGCACTGAGAGAGCATTTTCTCAAGAAACCCGAAAGGGGAAAATTCTTACACGAAAACAGCATGTGATTCTTGCTTTGAAGATAAGCAATATACTATGGAAAGATAAAAACACGAGGAATATTTACGTCACATCAGCCTAATGAAAAAAAAGCAAGATTTTCCCATCCTAAAGGCATATTCTTCTCCTATAGCGACCAAAATGATAATACATGATAAAATGATAATGATGCTTCTTGTTTCCCACAAGACCAAGAAGCTATGCAGAAATTTCAAGTACTGTTTGTTTAGCATTTATATACATGCTTGAAGTTGATGAGAAATTGAGAATCTTTGTTAGGAAATCACACCATTAATCTACTAGATTGAACAAGTGCAAAATAATATAAGCACGAACAACAAACACAAAAGTACAGAAATCACAACCACCTCAGGTTGTGGTTTGTTTTAACTCGTTCGATCTTGGCTCGTAAAAGAAAAACTAGCCAAATTAAGCCATAGCTCCATGAACAAACTTGAGCTCAGCTTGGCTCAGTTCATTTACACCACTAACTGGGGTGACCAGGTGGGGAGGTGGGGAAGGAGAACCTGGGGAGTATTTTTTATTTTATTTCTTGAATGTTCTTAGTTTTATACATAAATTCAATCTTTTTAAGCAGCAATTTTTTATTATTTTTTTCTTTTGCACATGTGGCGTCCATGTGTCATACATATAAGGAACAAAATGAGTCTCTTGCGTGCCAAGTCAGCATCTTGAACAGAAATTCTAACGAACTTGAGTAAAGCAGGACATCAAAATTTGATTTAGGAGTAAGTAGGATCAATATCACTTCTAGGGAATAAAATGAGATTCATGACATCTTTCTGAGTACTAGAGTAATTGCCTTTGGAAAGATGAGATGGTTGAGTTGAACGTTACTCAAAAATATTGTAACTAGGCATATCTAGGATCCAAAATTGCCTTAACAAAAACAATTAAGAACTAAGGAAATTATTAGACCTCATGCACATGATCTTGCATACTGCAAACGCCCGCCGGACCAAAAACAAACCAACTCTTTCAACTGCATGTAAAATCCATGGTGCAGAATACAAAAAAGCACAAACTTACTTCCCTGCAAGAACAAAAGGCATATTGCTTTATAGAAGAAAAACATCAAAGAGATTGTGCACATAAAAAGTCTGTTCCAATTGGTCTAGATACATGAAGTAATATGCGAAAAATAGGCCTTCTTGCGGCTTAGTGAGTACGCAACAGAACAAGGAAAACTGACATATGAAATCGTATTTCTTTTTCTAAGGGCAGTGAAAATCAGAGAATAATGTAGATTATAAATTTGCAACCTACCTCTAGCATATAGAGCTAAAACTAGAGAACTTTCAAACAGGAATTAGAAAGTCACCCCATAGGATTTTCTGTTTTTTTTTCTTTTCACTAAAGGGTTGCTCAAAACAAAGACAAGGCTAATCAAAATTGATGTCATATGTCTGAGGTACCTCCAAATATCTTAGCGCCTTTGGGTTTTTCCAATTGATCGTTTTCCAGAGAACAAGTGCTTTGGTTTTAAAGTGGGAATCACTCTATCTGCCTCTCCACGGCGAGCATCCTTGTTTCTCTTCTTAACAGATTTTTTGGCCTTTCTTAGCGCCTGGGACTTTTGAGAAGAGTCCTTGAAGCCCTCACCAGGGACAACTTCACTTGGAGGCCTTGATCTTGACCTCGAACGGGATCTAGAAATCATTCGCAGCTTCTTGTTGGGTGTATCCACATCCATATCCATGGCATCCCCAAAGCCAGGATCACCCCTGTCAACTGATCTCTCCCTCTTCCGGCCCCTCCTAGCCCCTCCTAGGGACAGATCTGCTGCGGGCTCGGTTAATTGCCATTCTAGGATCAAGCCCCAAATCTGATAGCTGCCTCCCCATTCTCTTGGACGTGAACTTCCTGTCCTTGTCAAATTTCCTTGGTACAGTTGGTCGACTCTCAGCCGTACTTTTCTTCATCCTATGTTGTTGAATGAGCAAGCTTTTCTTTTTCCTTATCTAGACCAATGTCTTTTGCTCTTCTGGAGTCAATTCCATGTCATCCATCTCAAACTCATCATCGCCCTCCTCTGCCTCTCGTTTCAACTCATCAAGCCTATGCACAATGTCAGGATCAACAAAGTCATACACATTGTGCCCATCAAGAATTTCTGGCATGACATCTTCTTTCCATTCATCATTGGCTAAGATATAATTCTTCTTCAAATTAGCAGAGCACACACCTGCACCACCATTCTCATTCTCCAAATCCTTTTCCGTGTTTCTCTTTTCCTTGTCCCCTGCTTGCTTGGCCTTAGCTTCTGAAACTGACTGAGGTATACATGGAGGCCTTTCCTTCTGGTCACGTGGCTGTGGCATTGCAACATGAAAACGATTTACGAAGTTATTTATCTTTTGCGATTTCATCTTCAAATCCACTCTCTGATTCAATAACCTCTCACAAGCTGCATTCTTTACAGAAATCACCCCATCCTCGGTCAAAGTGCTCATGGTTAAGAGTACCCCCTCATCATTTGTAGCCTCACCTCCTAGACCAATCACTGTCTTCATTGCTTCAGATTTCATCTCCATAACCAACTTCATGTCTTCCTCAGATATACCCTGCAATGGCTGCAAATCAGTCTTGTTGCAGACTATTATCAATGGTTTGTTCATAAATAGAGATTTAATGCTGTGAAACAGAGCTGCCTGCTGGGCAATGCTGTACCCACAAGACCCCGAGATGTCCAAGAAGAACAACACAGCAGCAGCTCTCAAATGCGCCAATGCTGTGATGCTGCACATCTCAATAATGTTACGATCTTCAAATGGTCGGTCCAAAATCCCTGGTGTATCTATTACCAGGTACCTCAAGAATTTGTAATCTGTATGTCCCACAAAGAGTGACTTTGTGGTAAAAGCATACGGCTGGACATCCACATCAGGCCTAGTGATCTTGTTAATGAATGGACATCCACATCAGCCCTAGTGATCTGTTCTAGGTAAGCTAAACTAGGGCCAATCCTCTTTACAACCGTGCACATGCGGCCAAGAGCAGCAACCTTGAGACACTTACAGCGGTAAAGTGAATCACCATACTTCAACAATTTCACATAATCATTAGAAATCTTTCCAATAAGTTTCCTTGCAGTATTGACTTGACCAAGTGCAAGCTTGTAGTGGTCTTTGTTGTAGAGAACATGAAGGAGGTCACCATAGAATGGGTGCACATCATCCAACCTGGGAAACTCATCAATGATTGTAGAGAGCTTCTCACGAAAATTCTGTTCAGTACATTTGACTTTTCGCATATAGAACTTCCGGAGGCTGGAAATGGCAGAACCCCTGTGGACTACGGTTGGGGTCTGTCGCTGGGTGCGAGATAGGATAATGTCAATGAAGTCCTTCCTATTTGGTACCACAGGCATCTTCTTGAAATTATATTGCACCATGTTTACTTATATTAGTCTGTCTGTCTACACAAAACAGAATCAAGTTAACATCTACCATTTATCTTTGGATTGAAACATGAAGGTACCATAAAATGCACTAAAAGTACCCAAACGAAATCAAACATAATTCAACATTAAAACATCTAGTATCTTCATTCACTACTTTAAAAAACACAATTCACTTGTCAACCAAAACTTGTATTAGCTGCACCAACTGTAACACCACAGACAAAAATGCATAAATCATCAAGACTACAGTCTGTCTGCTTTAAAAATATTTGAGGACAGGATATAGGAGCCTCAAAGAGGGTTTGAAGAAGACCTTACATAACGTGGTGTAATATGTATATTTATTAGGGCTCGTCAATGGGTGGGGCCGGGCCGGGCATTTTCAGACTTGAGGAAATAAACGGCGGGGTCGAGCCGGCCCATTGGCTGGGCTTTCACGGGCCTAAATGGGCTAACGGAAAAAGAAATAAATCATTCACAAAAAATATATGATTTTAATTCAAAGTCTGAAACATACATCTAAAATCCAAGTCTCATACAGAATCATAACCTTCCAACTAAAATCCAAGTCTCATACAGAATATCATAGCCTTCCAAAATCAAAGTTTAATACAAAATTAAAATTAAAATTAAAGTCTTCCAAACAAAACGTGTTCAATTACATATCATTTCAACTTTAACTTGTCAAATTTTCATTAGATTCACTCTCAACATTTTCACTGATTGTCATCCAATTTGGTCTTGATGCTCTAATGTTCATTAATTCTTCGGCGCCTTGCTCGTCTTGTGTTGCATCTTGCATGCTTGAATTGGCTAAGACCCAATATTTCAAGCAAATTAATGATTCTATTGTATTTGGACTCAAATTGGACCTCTTCTCGAATATAATTCTACCACCTCACTAAAACATGATTCTAATGCTACAATGGAAGCTGGAATAGTTAGCAAATCACCGACCCAAAACACTAAATTTATTATCAGCATCAACCTCTATTGTTGATAAATTAAGGTAAAATTGTAACTCATAAGTAGCAGTGGAAGAAGAAGATAGCTTTGCCTTTTTCAAGCCTTGCATAGAGAAATTTCTCATAATAGGGACAACTATAGAACCAGGAGTTTCGCTCAAGGTACTTGAAGTTACAATTGAATTTTGCGCATTTTAACCCACATCAGACATTACACTCTTCTATAGATATCAAATAACATAAACAATAAAGTTTTTAAAGTTAAAAGTTTTGAGTCAATGGTTGATTAATCAATGCCCATCATCTTTAACCATTCACAAATTGCAAATAATTTAAACCTAGAGTTCATAATAGTAGCAAAGCAACTGGACTTTACCAAGCGTGTTTCTATGCCTGATAGATAGGTCATGTGAGAGCAGCTAGGTCTTAGAGATTAAGTGAGACCGGCTAGGTTATATGAGCGTGTTTCTATGCCTAATGGCAAATGCCTTTTTTATTTTTTTTATATATATTTTTTATCGAGGTATTAGGCTTGGAACGGGACTTTACTAAACCAGAAGCTCTAAAAAGTGTTGTTACTAGACTTATTCCCAATCCCAGTTAGTTATATATATATATATATATATATATATATGGACTTGTTGGCTGGGCTTTCATGGGCTCAAAAGGGCTATGCCTATGGGCTGAGCTGGGCTTTAGGCACACAGCCCAAGCTCAGTCCACTAAACAACAGGACGGGACGACCTATGACCTATAATGGGCCCGGCTGCCAAGCTTTTCCTCAATGGGCTAGACGGGTCCACATCGGCCCATGGACTTGTGGGCCAAATGGCGACTCCTACTTGCACTTATGTCGAGTTTCGTTTTGGTCATCGACTCTTTTTTTCACGTCAATTATCCTCCAATTTCCTATTTTGTGTCAAATTCATCCTACTGTCACATTACATCAATTTAAATACTAAAATTGTAAATTTGAAGTAAAATATTCAAAAAGTAATTAAAGATTAAAATAAAATGTTATTAAAAACTGAAAAAATTAAAAGAAAAAAATTTGAAGCCTAAACCCTAAGCCCTATCGAGAAGCACAACTAAAATTATACAAAAATATAAAAGTGCTCTACATATATAGCCAAATTCATGATGTCCATTGACGCGAGATTCTAGTATGGTGAATGTTAAGACTTTGGATGTCAAAGTCTAGAGCCACGATGGATGTGCTCTAGGGAGCAGTGGTAAGGGTGAAACATGTCACCTAAGTGTCGTTGGTATGACGCATGCATACCCACAATACTCTGGTGCCTGAGTTAGAAGAGAGTTTTGAGTGTATTTGGGCAAAGTGATGAGACATTTGTTTTTGCCCAAGTAGCGGATTAGACGTCTCCAATATGTCCAAATTGGCCGATCAAATTCAATTCAATCTAATTTTATTTGGTTTTTATGATTTGACGATCGCTTTACTAATTTTCGAAACCGACATGACTGGATCGGATGATGGATTTGCTTGTGAGAATCCAATCAAATCAAATCCAATCCAATGTAGTTAGTTTCATTCTTATTTTGCTTGTGTAAGTATTTATAAAAGGAAAAGACGAGGGGCTTTTATTCAAAATGCCCCAGTAGACTTATTTACTAACCGAAAAAGAAAAGACGAGAAAATATGAGGGAATGAGGGGCAATGACGCTTCTTTCTCCTCTTCCCCTCTATGGAGTTTTCCTTTAAGACTTATAGAGGAAGAGAATGGCTATGATTTTTTTTTTTCCAAGGTAATCCAATCTCTTAGCCAAGAATTTGTAATTTTTATCTAAAGGCCCTCCCATTTGAGAGGAAAAAAAAAGGGAGATTCACTATTATACCCAATATGATGACCCAAATTATAAAAATACCCCATATGAAATGGACTTTAGAAACACACTCAAAGCCCATTTACAACATGACAAAAAGCTTTTAATTTGTTATAAATAACAAAACTGCCATCAATTTCTTAAAACAAGCCCAACCCCAAAATCTCATAAAAATACCCAAAACACTCAATAAGACATCAAAGTAATTTAATAATCAATATTAAATTCAATAAGGTTAGCTGTCATTTTTTGGGTTTTTTTTGGGTTTGTTTATATAAATTCAATTGTGTAGGGTTTATTTATAATATTAGTGCTAGAAATTGGTATATCACTAAATATCTAAAAAAAAAAGGGGTTTCTAGGTTGAATGGTCCCTAAACTTTGACTCAATTTGCATTTTGGTCCCTCAATTTTCAAAATCATTCTCGTAGTCCTTTAACTTCAATTTCGTTAGGAGAAATGGTCACACCGTTAGTTCTGTCAATTTTTTCGTTACATTTAGGGGTAAATGGGTCTTTTCATGTTGGTTTTATTTCTCTTCCATTGCGAAACTCGCATTTGTTCTGAAATTTGTTCAAAAGATATTTATGATATGTCTTGTAATGAGCAAGGTTATATTGAGACTGAAGCTCAAGGGCTATGAGAGATTTCTGATGATGGGGCATGTTCTGATGCTTTCTATTATGATGGGAACACCTCAAATAATGAGAATAACAATTGCTATGTGACAAAAAAACAGAGGATTTGCCTACCAACGTTCAAGAAATATAGGAGAGCTACTGACCTTAAAAATCCAGAGTTTCATTTAGGGATGAAATTTGCAAATTGAGATCACTTGAGGTCAATGAGTCAAGAATAGAAATAACCAAAATTTTCAGATTCCATAAGCCATTTTCATAACTAATAACATTTCAAGATTGCATAACTAATTATAGAATGACATTAGCTTCAAAGTTTTTACTGCCCTTGCTCCCATACATTTTCCAGACATGTTCGATGCCATTATCATCATCAACATCACAATAACCATAAATAAAACACAAACGCCCACACTCATCCTACATTCTCTTTGTGGATACCTCATTATATTGTCTTCCAATAAAAGTCTTGGCAAAAGGTTGCAACTGATTTTAAAGGGAAGGCAAGTTTCACAATGGGGAGAAATAAAACTAAACTGAAAATACCCTTTTACCCATACATTTAATGAAAAAATTAACAGAACTAAACTGTGAGACCATTTGTTATGAAGAAACTAAAGTTAAAAGACTAAGGGAACAATTTTGAAAATTGAGGGACAAAAATGAGAACTAGGTCAAAGTTCAGTACCATTCAACCTAAAAACCCAAAAATAAAAGAGGAATGCTAGTAACTTTCTCTCTAACATTCTCCTTTGTACATTCTCCATTTTTTACTTGACATGTGTTATTCTCCTTACACTTAAAATAATGTCATTAATATATTATACAAACTAACTTTTGTTTTCCAAGTTTACCCTTATTAAATGTATTCAATTTATCCAAACAAATTTCACAACTTTCTTACCATCTTATTAAATTTTTTTTAACATCAATTATTTTTTTTAAAGAAAATTTTTGCTTTAAAAAAAAAGAGGAAATGTCCTTAAAAAAAAATATATATATATAAACTTGACGTTAAAAAAGAAGAAGGGACATTTCCTCTTTTTTTTTAAAGCAGACATTTTCTTAAATAAAAAAAATTATCATTAAAAAAAAATAATATGGTAAGAAAGTTGTGAATTTTTTTGGGATAAATTGAATACAATTAATAAGGGTAAACTTGGAAAACAAAAGTTAGTTTGTATAATATATTAATGACATTATTTTAAGTGTAAGGAAAATGACATATGTCAAGGTAAAAAGGGAGAATATTCAAAAGAGAATGTCAGAGAGAAGGTTGTTAGCATTGCCCAAAATAAAATAGCAGGGTTAATTGCATAACCCTAACTCCCGCCATTCTCTCTCCTATGCCTCTCTTCTCTCTCTTCCCCACCCGGCAGGCGACATATTTCTTCTCTTCCTCGACGCCGCCGCACATCTGGCTCTCCATCTCTGCCGCCGTCGAACCATTCCAATTAGGTGCTTTTAAGTAAAAGGTGTTGATTTCTACTTGCCCTCTTTTGGGTTTTCTGTTATGAATACCTGAAGTGATTTTTATGTGAAAGTCTCTTCTTGTCTTTAGAAGCTGATAGGGTTCCTAACCTGTCACTGCAACTGAAACTAGTTTATTTGTAAAACCCCTGCTATTTTGTGTTAATCTCTGGACTGGGAACTTAATGATGATGCTTTGTTTTGGAAAGTCACTATCCCCAAGCATTTAATGATTAATGAAGCTTTTTTTTTGTTTGACAATGAAAAAATCAGAGCGATTATTTGCTCTTATTATTGCCCAGAATAAAATTTGTATTTGATGTCGGGTTTTAACTGCTGTTCTAGTTTTTCTTTTTTCATTTTTGTTCTGTTTAATGTGCAGGAAATGGCTTCGTCTGATGATGATCGGGCCCCAGTGAAGGCTGTGGCGAAAGGGGCGGATATAGAGAAGAAGAAGAAGAAGAAAAAGCATAGAGATAAAGACAATGATTTGGACAAAGACTTCATGATTAAGCCCCAGAGCTCGACTCCCTCCATGGACACCTCTCAGTGGCCTATCCTTCTCAAAAACTATGACCGCCTCAATGTTCGAACTGGACACTACACCCCTCTTCCCTCCGGGTATTCGCCCCTTAAGCGCCCTCTTGCCGAGTACATCCGATATGGTGTTATCAATCTTGACAAGCCCGCCAACCCCTCTTCGCACGAGGTTGTCGCTTGGATTAAACGCATCCTTCGCGTAGAGAAAACTGGCCACAGTGGTACTCTGGATCCTAAGGTTACAGGTAATCTCATTGTCTGCATTGACCGAGCCACGCGACTTGTCAAGTCCCAGCAGGGTGCTGGGAAAGAGTATGTCTGTGTTGCACGCTTGCATTCAGCCGTGCCTGATGTTGCCAAGGTGGCTCGGGCCCTCGAAGCCCTCACTGGGGCTGTCTTTCAGAAGCCGCCTTTGATATCAGCAGTCAAGAGGCAGCTTAGGATTAGGACTATATATGAAAGCAAGCTTCTTGAGTTTGATGCAGATAAGCATTTGGTCATTTTCTGGATTTCTTGCGAGGCAGGAACCTATGTGCGTACACTCTGTGTCCATTTGGGTTTGCTTCTTGGTGTGGGGGGGCATATGCAGGAGCTAAGGAGGGTCAGGTCTGGTATTATGGGCGAGAAAGACAACATGGTTACCATGCACGATGTCATGGATGCTCAATGGGTGTACGATAATTACAGGGATGAGAGTTATTTGAGGAGGGTCATTATGCCTCTTGAGGTGCTCTTGACCAGTTATAAGAGATTGGTTGTCAAGGACTCAGCAGTGAATGCCATCTGCTATGGTGCCAAGTTAATGATTCCAGGGCTGCTCAGGTTTGAGAATGATATTGAGGTTGGGGAGGAAGTTGTGCTTATGAGTACCAAAGGAGAAGCAATTGCATTGGGAATTGCCGAGATGACCACTGCTGTGATGGCAACTTGTGATCATGGTGTGGTGGCAAAGATTAAGAGGGTGGTGATGGATCGGGATACTTACCCAAGGAAGTGGGGATTGGGACCAAGGGCATCCATGAAGAAGAAGTTAATTGCAGAAGGGAAATTGGATAGGCACGGGAAGCCTACTGAGAGTACCCCGCAAGAATGGATGAGGAATGTGGTTTTACCTACAGGTGGGGATTTTATTGTTGCAGGCACTGCTGCTGCGCTCTCCACTGAACCTGCCGTGGCAGAGAAGGAGAAGGAGAAGGAGAAGAAAAAGGACAACAACAACGATGAAGAGGAAGCTAAGGAGGTGTGTAAACGCAAACTAGAGGAAAGGGCAGAGAGCCCTGTTCCTGTTCCTGCTAAGAAAAGCAAAAGTGAAGAAGTTGAGCTTGAAGTTGAGAAGTCAGAAAAGAAAAAGAAGAAGAAAAAGGACAAAGAGAATGGTGTTTTGGAAGCTTCCTATGTGGAGAAGTCAGAGAAGAAGGTGAAGAAGGAAAACAAAGATAAAGTTGAAGTTGGTTCACCTGAAACAGAAAAGTCTGAGAAGAAAAAGAAGAAGAAAAACAAAGAGGCCGAGAACAATGGTGCTGCGACCCCCACCGCCGCTGATGACAAGGCTGATAAGAGTGAGAAAAAAAAGAAGAAGAAGAAAAAAAAGGATAAGGCAGATGCAGAAGAGGATTAGGAAGGATTTAGGATTTGCATCTTTAAATGGCAGAACTAGTTTTGAATGTATGCCTTCTTTTAATTCCATCTACAATGAGAATTTTTGTATGACTTTAAATTTTCTTATCTTATATAAGTAAGTTTAATGGACTTGTTTCAGGGCAGAACTAGTTTTTTTTGTAGTTTAGCCCTGTATTGCAGGCTGTTTTCTTCTTGATCGTCTGAGTAATTTCAATTCACCATTTTCCTTTTCTTTGTGTTTGTTTTCTTCCCTCAAACGTATGAATGAAAATGCACTTCACTTGCTGTACGGTTTCCTTAAGTCTCAACAATTCAGTGATGCTGTTGAGTTCAACCTTCTGGTTTGTATCTCTGTCTCTCTGTATATAAATTATTTCTACGAGTTTAGAATTCATCATCGATGCAAATCGGTGGACATAATATTTTGGGCTCATGGTTGTTTCAAAGATGGACTTGGTTTTTTATTTTTTATTTTTGGCCTTTGGGTTGAAACCTTTACAAAGAAACTATTGTTTGCATACCCCTAATAACTACTGTTTTGGTTCCTCTTAAAAACAGGGTTGTCTCTGTGATCTTAAAATGCACGGACGACCCCGCAAAGCCCCGACAAGAGAAGATGAAGCAGGTTCAGCAGGCAAGGGCAAAAAGCTTGGGTTCCTCCAGTCTCAACTCCTATACAACCACCACAAGAAGATTTATAACGAGGAAGCTCTCGACCTCAGTGCCAAAACCCTCCAGACAAACCCCGACTTGTACACCGCTTTGAACTACAGAAAGCTCGCTGTCCAGCACAAACTCGCTGCTTCCCACCCAGACTTCAACTCCATTTTCGACCCAGAACTTAGACTGGTTTGTTTGATTTTGATTTGATTTGTTTTATGGATTGAGAGACTTGAAATTGATGTCTCTTATTGATTGTTCCTATTCCTAAAGGTCGAGATTGCGTTGGGAACGAATCCTAAAGCCTACAGAGCATGGTATCATCGTGAATGGGTGCTAAGGAGGCTAAGCAAGGCCCATTCTTCTTCTTCTTCTTATTTGAATGATTATTTAGACCACGAATAATTACGGAGCGTGATTCCCGTAATTTCCATGCTTGGAAACACCGCAGGTCAAACTTCAGCTACCAATTTCCATTTTGTGCTGACACCTCAATTTATTTAATTTAGTTGGTTCCTTTTTCTTTTCTTATTTTCATTTTTCAGATTTTTAGCTACATTGTTCAATACATCAGACCATGAGGAATTGAAGTTTACCAACAAAATGATACAAGATAACCAGGACAATTTGAGCAATTACTCAATGTGGCAACATCATAGGTAGCACTTGGATTTTCTTTTACCAATTTATGTTTAATAATTGGAATTGGAAACCATTTCAAGTTGATTGTTTGATCTGAATATGTTGTCACCAAACAGCTGCCTACCTCAGTGGTTGAGGTGTTCCCTTTCCCCCTCAGCAGCACCTTGAAAAACCCAAGTAATATTTCCCCACCTCCCAGCGTTGACCAAACAAAAAAACCCATACGGAAGGCTCAATTATGTGATTCCATCTTCTGCGTTATGATGCACCCATGCTTAAACATGTTTATTACTAGTGGAATCTAATTGAGGAACTTGCAGAGTACTTCTGCCTGGTTTGCTGAAGAAAAAGGCTCAAGGATTCTCCTCAAAAGAGAAGGTTTTGCATGATGAGTATGAGCTTGTGGACGGTGCTCATAGCCATGGCCGCTTTGAATTTAGAAGTTGCCCTTTTGTTACATTTCCTTATTTTTCTAAGTCATCCAACTTGTCTTTTTTTTTTTGGCAGTAAAATTGGAATTCTGACGCTTGCGAGATTGTTGACAGCTATAAATGTTCTTTTGTCCCGATTTACAAACAAAACAGTCGATTATAAAGAAGTTCTTGAACTTTATAAAGACTTAATGAAGATGGATCCGTTGCATTCTCCGTATTACAAAGATCAGCACAGCTTAGTTTTCCTGCAGGAGGTGATGCTCTCTTCTCCTCATGTAGTCAAGCATAATCCTCAATCCTTTATGGATGTAACCTTACTTGTCGATGGTGCTGCTACATGTGCGCCTCAGGTCAATACCTTTTTGTCTGGACTACACTGACCTCAATGCTTTAAAATCAAATAATCTAATTTAGGGATGAAAGTGATGAATGAAAACACTCATTTTGATGATGATGCTGGATGCATCTGTGTTTCAACCATTGTTTCCAACTTAGTACCAGGGAATTGGATAGTATTGATACCTTGATTATAGGATGCTTATGACACTTGAATCGGATAATATAATTTCTGAAGTGATAAAGCATTTGTTGCCCTAGCACATTATCCGCTGTTCTGGGTGTTGCAATTTTGCTTCTTGCCAAGACTGGTCCAAAATGATGCCAGTAGCTATGCGTTTCAACTTCACTTGAAGTGATTGGATAGGCTATTTTATTGGATTTCTAAATACTGGATTCTATAATTTTTTTATCACATTTTGTGGGTATTGCAGGTAACTTCCAACAGGGAGTCTCTGCAGTGACACTGCTGTAGTTATAAAAATTTGGCTTCTGCAAGCATTGGTAATTTTGTGTGTATGACTAAATAATATATCCTTATCACGAATAGGGTCTATTGAGAAATTATTGTGGGTTAGCATGCTAGACCTCAGCCACAATGAACTTTGTTCTATTGAAGGTATGCTTACTTTTGTTCATGTTGTGAATCATGTATGTCTATCTCGTAGCCTTGCCTTCTTTTTATCCAGATTGTGTGTAATTTCCTGCAATTTACTTGGGAAGTTGTGCTTATTGCATATAGGTATAGTTTAATTTATTTATTTTATGACCAAAAATATTAATTTATTTGTTTCTTACTTCCCGTCTTCCCGTGGAACTCATATAGTTGGGAAACAATTTTATATACACACACATAGTTTGGTCAATCTGGGAATATATTGGTAGCCTGTTAGAGGACATCTCATGATTTAGAAATTGGATTCTGGAAAGCTTTTGTTTTCTTACACTAGCTGCAATGCTAAAACTTATAAATTATACAGAACTTTAATTGTTTAGATTGTGAGTGGCAAATCATCTTTTTGACTTGGGTCTTTGGACGGGATTGGAGGCAATGCAGCTTCTGTCTTGCTTAAATCTGAGTGTCAACTTTTCTGCCCTGGGACCTTTGAGATTGCTGAAGTCACTAAAAGTTCTGAATATCTCTTACAATGAGATGTTTACACACTATGACAAGATATCTCTGTTCATCTCCTCTTGCACACACAGAAGAAACTAGTTGGAACTGTGACGAAATTATGCCTGGGGGTGTCAGTGTGACGAAGCTTATTTTTGGATTTATTTTTTCTGATTTTTTATTTTCTTTTTTTTTTTTTTTTTTTTTTTTAATTTTTTTTGAGGTTGATTGCAATTAGACATTGTGTGGGAATGCAATTTCTGGTGAAAATTTAAAGTCATTTTTGGTCAAGGTAGTTCCTTCACTTCAGTGGCTGGATAGTGATAAATTGCATTAACCTTTTTCGTTGTCTAGTTCTATTTGTGTGGGTTTTCCCTTTTCATTTATCCGGTTCATTTATCCAATATACTAGCCCCACACATGATTACACATTCACTACTCGGTTAATGTTGGTAACTTATCGGTAGGTAGCAGTTTGACTGCAGAATCAAAACAGTTCCAAGTTTTTATGCCAGCTTCCTTCTAGCTATTTATGTATTTTTTTATTTTTTGTTCCAGTGAAAATGGGATTTTGTGTTTTCATGATATGTCGTGCATCTGAATATGAGAAGGCCTCTCGCTATTAGGGCATCAGGATGCTGTATTTTAAGCAAAGATTATTGCATGTAACCAGAATATAAACCCTCTCGTAATCAAGGAATTGGAATTTATGTTTTTTATATTTTTTTAATAAATAGTATAGCCGACTGGCTATACGCGGTTTTTTTAATTTTGTTTAAAGAACAGTATAGCCGTATACACGGTGTTGCTAATTTTTTAAAAAGAAATAGTAAAGCCGCGCGGCTATAACTGGTTTTGCTACTTTTTTTTTTACAAACAAATAGTATCCCCGCGCGCCTATACTTTTCGGTTTTTTTTTTTTTTTTTTTTTTTTTTATTTAGAAATGGTGTCGTTCTCCTCGCCTCCAAGACTTCCCAAGAGGCTCAGACGGCAGCTGAGTCTTGTCGACTGTAACAAGACTCCTAACACCGCTGAGCAAATCGAAACCAAGCTCCGGTTTGCTGATCTTCGCCGATAGGTCTTTCTTTCTCTCTCTTCTATTTTCATTTTTTTTTACCCTCATGAAAAGTTGTCTCCTTGATTTTGTTCTCTCTCTCTTTTTTCTTGAATTTGTGATTTTCTGTTTGCTCATTGAGAAAATTTGATCATAGTTCGGTTGATCGAACGACTGAACTGATCGAAATAGTTTAGTCAATAACTGTTTTTTTCTTTGAACTTGGATTTTCTAAATAGCATATTCGGCCGGCTATTCTCGGTTTTCTTTTTTTAAAAGAAATAGTATAGCCGCGCGAATATACATTTTTTAAGAAATCGTATAGCCCAATGGCAATAGGGGTTTTCCTAATATTTTAAAAGAAATAGTATAGCCGGGCGGCTATACACGGCTGTTTCCTAATTTTTTTTCCTTTATATATACTGGATTTCGCTAATTGTTTTTAAAAAAGAAATCATATAGCCGCATGGATATACTCCATTTTTAATTTTTTTTAAAGTAATAGTATGGCCGCTCGGCTATACCCGGTTTTTAAATGTTTAGGGAAATAGTATAGCCGCACGGCTAATCCCTTTAGAAAAAAAGAAAAAGAAAAATTTGGGTTTTTCCCAAATTTTTTTTTACCTCATAAACAAAACTGAGCATAAACAAAAATCTATGTACTCTGAAGCATGATCACCACCATTACAAAAGCAGCAATATGCAGGAAAGCTTTACATTGCTCCTAATAAAACATGCTACCCTCAAAGGAAATCGGTTTCCCCTAAAACATACTCGTGCAATCTTTGTTGAACAAGTATAAAGCAGAACCCCTACCCTCGGGGGTTGGTAGGGTCTCCCAACCACAAAGGTTCTGTAGCAACCAAACCAGAAATATAATGAGAATTTGACTTGGGGTTACTTTGACCCCACAGACCAAGATTCCGCTTGCCTCAGTGTGCTGCCTGGGAATAGGACCTCATCACCCAATCACTTTTTGCAGAGGTGTTGCGGAGCGGAGAAGATGATGAAACCTAACTTTATTTCTCTCAAAACTTGATCCTGTACAGTGGTTGTGTTTTAAGAGTCGAGCAAACGCAACGTTTCATCATCTGTGGTTAAAAAAAATGATTAAATTAATTAGTCTCCGTGCCTTTCATTTTTTGCTATTTCTTGTTGATAAATGTAGGGTAATCAAGGAATTGGAATCCTAACTAATACCCTAGTTGATTACGGACACATAATTGTATATTTAAATCTACGAAACACAGTATATACATTGTGTATATCGTGCCTATTTTCGACACTCTAACCCAGTTTTATAGCTGTAATTTGTAAAGAAGAATAGACAGAATGTTTTGATCAATAAGATTCATTAAAGAATTTCATCCCATGAGAAGGAGATAGTAGTTCAATATGAGCCACACAGAGTAATCGCCTGCTTGTCTGATTGCAAAGGACATGGCTGTGATATAAACTAATTTGTGCAAGAATGGATTGCTGCTTACTAACACAACATGGATCAATTCAATACCAGAAAGAGTGATTGTTCCAGAGGATATCTGTATAGTGAAACGGATTGATACGATGTACAAATGAGAAGTTGTAACAAAACAAAATTAATGTATTGATAAAAGAAAAAAGGGGTACAAAATTAATGTTTGTATCAATCCCGAGACAAAATTGTGAATGTGGAATACGTGTAAGATGATGTATTAATCCAAGTGAATTACACTTCGGTATGTTTGGTTTGTGGAAAAGAAAATAATAATGGTATAGCCGGCGGCTATACTAAAATAAATAAAAAGTAATTGGCCGCCTAGGCGCTAGGCGGGCGCCTAGGAGCTGGGCGTGTGCTTTTAAAAAATAAAAATAAAAAACTAGTAGAGCCGCGCGGCTATAATCTTTAAATATAATATATTCCACATTCACAATTTATGATCTCCCAGTGTTGGTAAAATGATTGCCGTGTATCACCTTTTTCTCATTTTTTTGTTTTCCTCTTCTGAAATCGCTGTCTGCCGTCTCTGGTTCGCTCTCACTCAGCCTGCATATATGTATATGTGTGTGTGTATATATATATTCTGTTGTAATGCATGTCTGAAAAAACTGTCATGCAGGCTTTGGAAACGCCAGTTATTGCTGTGCTTATGGATAAGGTATGGGAGTGAGTGTAGTTCTATTGATTTTAATATAAGATACTTATATTAATAAAGTAACTTGGTACCTGAGAGTTACATACAAATTCATATTCGTAATGGCTTGAGAATATCGCAGGATAGTGGACAATATAAGGGTTAGATTAGCATCAGGGTAAGATTTGTTTAGCCATCAACTTGTTTTGGATCCAACCTTCACGGTTACATTGGCACCAACTTCATCTCCACCAAACCTTCTAAGAGAAGATCTTCAAGTTTTAAGTCTGAAAGATGATAAAGGAAAGGTGGCTAGGGGAATATGTATTACATCCAGTTCCTTGAAGCCAGATATATCAAATTGTGTGCTTGTATGTCCTCCTAGATGTAAGACTTTATTTAGGTTCTTTTTTTTGTGCTTTGCTGTGAATGAGTAATAAAAAGATAATAATAATCATTTTCTTTCCTTTTTCCCTCCCAGCTTTTGTGCCCTGAACAGGATACCTCAATCCGGATTATCCAGATATGTGGCAGTTTGGAAACGAGTGTTTGTCCAAAGGGCGTGTATGTTTATGCTATTTGAAAACAAGCGCTCTCTCTCTCTCTCTCTCTCACACACACACATACAGGGAGATATACAAACATTTATTATTTATTTTCATATCGAGTTTACATTTTTTTATACGCTGATGACTGCATCTTTGGGAAATCATGCATCACACATGTTCAAAATAAAAAATTATGCTAGATATAGAGATCCTCCAATGCTATAGCGATGATAACTTTGTGAACAGGTAGAGAGGAATTACTCTTACTGTTTTTTTTTTTTTTTTTTTTTTTTTTTTTTTTTTTTTCCAATCTAAATTGTTATAGCTCAAGTAGGTTGAATTTTTATGCGCTGAAAATGAATGTGCAAGCCTTTTGGTTTTCTAGTCATGAGATGGAACTGCTAAGTAGATGGTCCTTATTCCTAGAAATGAGTGAAGTTAGGCAGAAACTAATTATTAATGGTTTTTGACCCTTATATAGTCGGTTATTACTGATACAATCTTTCAGGATTGTTTACATCAACAGACTTTGACTTGTATACACCAGATCATGACCATTGTCTATTTTGATACTTTCATATGGATTAGATATACTTATAACAAAATTTTAAGCTGCCTGCACTTCTTTTGAGGTGTCTGTTGAATTTTTACATTACCTTCTCGTCTTTAGGTTTCTGCTGTACTTTTCTGCTTTATGCGATAATGCTGAGCAAGGAAAAATGTCGCTACATGCAGTCCAGAATGCTCTTCTCACACTTCCTATATATGTCTGGAAATCCTGAAAGAGCTTCCACAGTTCAAAGTGAAAAAGCAGAAGTAAAACCCACCTTACTTTGGAGCACGTTGTATATTCAGGAGCTGACTCTGGTATCTTGACTTTTATTTGTTTGCACTAAATTTGTTTCTCACTAGTTCTACGTGTTACGTACACGCATTGATTATGCAGCCTTATTCTTCTCTTTCTTTTGATGTCAAATCATGGTGACGAGTATGCTGATTTGTTGTCATAGATGTTTTAGGTTAGCTGATGCCCAGGTGATGATTTGTTCTGATCTATGATTTTTTTTTTTCCCAGATAATTATTTTTATTGATTTCTAAACGCAACAGTTAGGAACTGCTTCATTTTGTGTGCTGCAGAAAGCTATCTGAAATGTGCGTTGAGCACTTGGAAGGCCATAACTTGGAGCTAAATTAACCATTTTGCGAATGCGAGTACTCATTTTGACACGTTTTTTCGTGATCTATACATTGGGAAGGAGAAGAATTATTTTTGAGGACATGTTGGTAGATGAACTGGCTCCCTAAAGTTGCTGTTAAAATGAGTTCAAACTTTGAAAGGTCATAACTTTGCGCTCGGGTGTCCGTTTGGGGGCAAAAAAAAAAAAAAAAAAAAAAAAAAAAAAAAAAAAAAAAAAAAAAAAAAAAAAAAAAAAAAAAAAAAAAAAAAAAAAAAAAAAAAAAAAAAAAAAAAAAAAAAAAAAAAAAAAAAAAAAAAAAAAAAAAAAAAAAAAAAAAAAAAAAAAAAAAAAAAAAAAAAAAAAAAAAAAAAAAAAAAAAAAAAAAAAAAAAAAAAAAAAAAAAAAAAAAAAAAAAAAAAAAAAAAAAAAAAAAAAAAAAAAAAAAAAAAAAAAAAAAAAAAAAAAAAAAAAAAAAAAAAAAAAAAAAAAAAAAAAAAAAAAAAAAAAAAAAAAAAAAAAAAAAAAAAAAAAAAAAAAAAAAAAAAAAAAAAAAAAAAAAAAAAAAAAAAAAAAAAAAAAAAAAAAAAAAGGTTTCAATTCGAAAGGAAAGTGAGGAGAAATCTAATAGGAAAGAATTATAAAGCATGTCATTCTTTACCACTCCACTGGAATTAAGATCCTGTGGCCATTTCCGAGAAAATGAATGCCATTTGATGCTAACACCAAAATGGGCATCACCTCCATTTGTGTATAACAGCCTTGATATAATGAGAAGCTACCAAAACATTTTAATGGCGAAATCTGAAACTTAAATATTAGATATTCCCATGCTTATATGCTCCCAGTGCATAGGCAGAGAAAAACTATAAATCAGTCTCAGAATTGAGAGACCTCATATTGAATTATTTATTTTTCTTTTTCTGAAAGATAGAGTACCTTCAGACAGAATTGCAATTATGAAACTTAAATATAGTATAGCCGGCGGCTATACTATTTATTTATTAAAGAACCGCCTAGCCCGCCTAGGCGGCCGATTTGTCAAAAACTTGAATGGAGTTTTTTTTTTTCAGATTTCTTTTTTCGTGGAGGGTCTAGCATCTCTGCAAGTACATTTTGTCAATTCTCAGTACCATAAGATGGGCAAAAAGAGTAAATCAAAACCTCCCACAGAGATGCAAGATAATATAGCTGTTGGTATCGGTGGCAGCCTCTTGGGTCCTCTTCAAACAGGTTTAGAAGATTCTTTCCATGCATATATTTTGCAGTCTTGTTTACTATGTAGTGTGAGTTTCCTTGTGAAAATGATTAAGCTTTCTTTGGAATAAACTTCGGGTAGTGTTCACTGGTTTGATTACATTTTGCAGATCCAGAGGCTATCGAAACAGCAAGGGGAAGGCAACTGCATTTGTAAGTACTTACGTATCAATTTTTAAGTGCTTATGCTTTCAAATTTTCTTTATGTTTATTTTTGAAAGCAATCCGTATTCTGTGTTGTGGTTGGAGTTGTGGTGTTTAACACAGCCCATATTCAGGGACTATGTTAGATGCATTCTGTGTGTAAATATTTGGTTCTAGTCTTGGTAGTTGGGTTAAAGAATTATATGCGTATTTTTATCAGAGGATGGATGATTCTGGGTGGGGGTTGCCTGTTCTGCAGCGAGGGCATTGTCGAAGTCGGTTCCAGGTTTTGGCTCTATAAGGTTTCCCATTTGCACATGGCGGAACTGGTATATGCCGTCGACGTACGGCAGTGGTTGTTGCAAACTGTAACTGAGCGACTATACTCTTAACCAATCAGCTATACGTTTATATAATATATATATATATATCTGTCTCTCTCTCTGTTACCTTTTCTTGATAGACATTAGGATTTCTTTGGTGAAACCACGTTGCTGTGGTTTTTGTATACGGGGCATGGATTGTGATGTAGATATGAGCTGTGATATCTTTTCAGATTTACATTAATTTCAGGATCAACGTGATTATCTTATTTCAACTCCCATGCCAGATGGAAATCTTTGCTACAATGATCTGTTAGATGCAACTGTGCTGGTATTATTATCTCTTTACTCACATCTTGTGTTGTTTCATCAAGCTTAACTTCTTGTTATTATATATCCCTTGATGTTAACCCTTATGAAATTTGGTGTCAATGTTTGCACTTGACAGCTTTTCCAGAAGTCGTATCCAAATGAAGAATTCTTTTCCGAAACACCCTCACCTCAGAATTTGGAGGATGACGTTCCGATTAATCTAGAGGACTAATAGTATAAGGCCATTACCCGAGTCTCTATTGTCCCCCTTGGATATTCAATAATACATCCGTGTTCTGTACACGTCTTAAAGATTTGGTAAAGTTCACTTTTTGTAAAAGGCAAACATGCAATACGCGTATTATACATGTACGTACATATTTTTCATGTTTAATACATGTATTTTTATATAAAATTTTCAATAATACACACAGCTTCACGTATTATACATATAATTCTCACATATTATTGAATAAACATAATATATATTAAACAATTTACATGAATTATATATATATATATATATGTATATATATTTTTTAATTAAATAATATAGCCGCGAGTCTATACCTTCTAAATATGTATTTAAAGAGTATCGCCGTGCGGCTATGCTATGGTTTTTGACATGTGGACGCCTAGCCATTAGACGGGTCCTCTTTTTTCATATTTTTTTACTTTATTAATAGTATTTCCATGCGGCTATATACGGTTTTATAATTTTTTTTTGATTTCATGTAACTTTTCGAGATCTAGAACGTCCCAAGTCGCTGGAAGCGGCTTGAGTTCTCCAGACCCCCAAAAAACGCTGTTTTCTGCTGTAAAACTGGATTACATCTTCCCAATGTAACAGCAGAGACATTTTTTCCTTACATTTTCTTAATGTCATGCAATCAAAACTTCAATTTTGAACATAGGAGACAGTAAGTGATGGGGAGACATATTGTTCAAGTACATAGGAGACAGTAGCAATATAGAATGGAGAGTGTTGTTCAAGTACATATAAGGAGCAACAATATTGAAATGTTTCATATTAGATGGGCTAATTTTTGTTTTAATTATTAACTTCAGGGTCTAGGGTTCAAGTCACTAAAAGGTCTAGGGTACATATAACGAGCAACAATACTGAAGAAGTTGCCAACTGAGTTGAATTTGGTCTAAATCGAACATCAGTAATTATCAAGGAGTGCCCCTCTTGTGTGCTTTCAGTTTGCAGTGCTTCCATATTCCAGACAACAACCTACTGACATGAAAAAACGAAAGAAAATCATTCACATCATTCCTTTTCTCATTAATCAATTGAAGTCACTAATTTGTTATCAGATAACAAGTACCTAAACCCAATCCGTAAATCAATTACTTAGCTTACAACAAGACTTGAACCTGGGCTCTTCGGTTCGGTTTCAATTCGAAAGGAAAGTGAGGAGAAATCTAATAGGAAAGAATTATAAAGCATGTCATTCTTTACCACTCCACTGGAATTAAGATCCTGTGGCCATTTCCGGAGAAAATGAATGCCATTTGATGCTAACACCAAAATGGCATCACCTCCATTTGTGTATAACAGCCTTGATATAATGAGAAGCTACCAAAACATTTTAATGGCGAAATCTGAAACTTAAATATTAGATATTCCCATGCTTATATGCTCCCAGTGCATAGGCAGAGAAAAACTATAAATCAGTCTCAGAATTGAGAGACCTCATATTGAATTATTTATTTTTCTTTTTCTGAAAGATAGAGTACCTTCAGACAGAATTGCAATTATGAAACTTAAATATAGTATAGCCGGGCGGCTATACTATTTATTTATTTATAACAAATAAATAAAAAATTAATTAATTTTTTATTTATTTATTTTAAAAATGGAACCGCCTAGCCCGCTGATTTTTCGAAACTTGAATGGCATTCTTTTTTTTAAGATTTATTTTTTCCTGGCCGGTCTATTGCAATTATGATACTTAAATATAGTATAGCCGGACGGCTATACTATTTATTTATTAAAGAACCGCCTAGCCCGCCTAGGCGGCCGATTTGTCAAAAACTTGAATGGAGTTTTTTTTTTTCAGATTTCTTTTTTCGTGGAGGGTCTAGCATCTCTGCAAGTACATTTTGTCAATTCTCAGTACCATAAGATGGGCAAAAAGAGTAAATCAAAACCTCCCACAGAGATGCAAGATAATATAGCTGTTGGTATCGGTGGCAGCCTCTTGGGTCCTCTTCAAACAGGTTTAGAAGATTCTTTCCATGCATATATTTTGCAGTCTTGTTTACTATGTAGTGTGAGTTTCCTTGTGAAAATGATTAAGCTTTCTTTGGAATAAACTTCGGGTAGTGTTCACTGGTTTGATTACATTTTGCAGATCCAGAGGCTATCGAAACAGCAAGGGGAAGGCAACTGCATTTGTAAGTACTTACGTATCAATTTTTAAGTGCTTATGCTTTCAAATTTTCTTTATGTTTATTTTTGAAAGCAATCCGTATTCTGTGTTGTGGTTGGAGTTGTGGTGTTTAACACAGCCCATATTCAGGGACTATGTTAGATGCATTCTGTGTGTAAATATTTGGTTCTAGTCTTGGTAGTTGGGTTAAAGAATTATATGCGTATTTTTATCAGAGGATGGATGATTCTGGGTGGGGGTTGCCTGTTCTGCAGCGAGGGCATTGTCGAAGTCGGTTCCAGGTTTTGGCTCTATAAGGTTTCCCATTTGCACATGGCGGAACTGGTATATGCCGTCGACGTACGGCAGTGGTTGTTGCAAACTGTAACTGAGCGACTATACTCTTAACCAATCAGCTATACGTTTATATATATATATATATATCTGTCTCTCTCTCTGTTACCTTTTCTTGATAGACATTAGGATTTCTTTGGTGAAACCACGTTGCTGTGGTTTTTGTATACGGGGCATGGATTGTGATGTAGATATGAGCTGTGATATCTTTTCAGATTTACATTAATTTCAGGATCAACGTGATTATCTTATTTCAACTCCCATGCCAGATGGAAATCTTTGCTACAATGATCTGTTAGATGCAACTGTGCTGGTATTATTATCTCTTTACTCACATCTTGTGTTGTTTCATCAAGCTTAACTTCTTGTTATTATATATCCCTTGATGTTAACCCTTATGAAATTTGGTGTCAATGTTTGCACTTGACAGCTTTTCCAGAAGTCGTATCCAAATGAAGAATTCTTTTCCGAAACACCCTCACCTCAGAATTTGGAGGATGACGTTCCGATTAATCTAGAGGACTAATAGTATAAGGCCATTACCCGAGTCTCTATTGTCCCCCTTGGATATTCAATAATACATCCGTGTTCTGTACACGTCTTAAAGATTTGGTAAAGTTCACTTTTTGTAAAAGGCAAACATGCAATACGCGTATTATACATGTACGTACATATTTTTCATGTTTAATACATGTATTTTTTATATAAAATTTTCAATAATACACACAGCTTCACGTATTATACATATAATTCTCACATATTATTGAATAAACATAATATATATTAAACAATTTACATGAATTATATATATATATATATATGTATATATATTTTTTAATTAAATAATATAGCCGCGAGTCTATACCTTCTAAATATGTATTTAAAGAGTATCGCCGTGCGGCTATGCTATGGTTTTTGACATGTGGACGCCTAGCCATTAGACGGGTCCTCTTTTTTCATATTTTTTTACTTTATTAATAGTATTTCCATGCGGCTATATACGGTTTTATAATTTTTTTTTGATTTCATGTAACTTTTCGAGATCTAGAACGTCCCAAGTCGCTGGAAGCGGCTTGAGTTCTCCAGACCCCCAAAAAACGCTGTTTTCTGCTGTAAAACTGGATTACATCTTCCCAATGTAACAGCAGAGACATTTTTTCCTTACATTTTCTTAATGTCATGCAATCAAAACTTCAATTTTGAACATAGGAGACAGTAAGTGATGGGGAGACATATTGTTCAAGTACATAGGAGACAGTAGCAATATAGAATGGAGAGTGTTGTTCAAGTACATATAAGGAGCAACAATATTGAAATGTTTCATATTAGATGGGCTAATTTTTGTTTTAATTATTAACTTCAGGGTCTAGGGTTCAAGTCACTAAAAGGTCTAGGGTACATATAACGAGCAACAATACTGAAGAAGTTGCCAACTGAGTTGAATTTGGTCTAAATCGAACATCAGTAATTATCAAGGAGTGCCCCTCTTGTGTGCTTTCAGTTTGCAGTGCTTCCATATTCCAGACAACAACCTACTGACATGAAAAAACGAAAGAAAATCATTCACATCATTCCTTTTCTCATTAATCAATTGAAGTCACTAATTTGTTATCAGATAACAAGTACCTAAACCCAATCCGTAAATCAATTACTTAGCTTACAACAAGACTTGAACCTGGGCTCTTCGGTTCGGTTTCAATTCGAAAGGAAAGTGAGGAGAAATCTAATAGGAAAGAATTATAAAGCATGTCATTCTTTACCACTCCACTGGAATTAAGATCCTGTGGCCATTTCCGGAGAAAATGAATGCCATTTGATGCTAACACCAAAATGGCATCACCTCCATTTGTGTATAACAGCCTTGATATAATGAGAAGCTACCAAAACATTTTAATGGCGAAATCTGAAACTTAAATATTAGATATTCCCATGCTTATATGCTCCCAGTGCATAGGCAGAGAAAAACTATAAATCAGTCTCAGAATTGAGAGACCTCATATTGAATTATTTATTTTTCTTTTTCTGAAAGATAGAGTACCTTCAGACAGAATTGCAATTATGAAACTTAAATATAGTATAGCCGGGCGGCTATACTATTTATTTTATTTATAACAAATAAATAAAAAATTAATTAATTTTTTATTTATTTATTTTAAAAATGGAACCGCCTAGCCCGCTGATTTTTCGAAACTTGAATGGCATTCTTTTTTTTAAGATTTATTTTTTCCTGGCCGGTCTATTGCAATTATGATACTTAAATATAGTATAGCCGGACGGCTATACTATTTATTTATTAAAGAACCGCCTAGCCCGCCTAGGCGGCCGATTTGTCAAAAACTTGAATGGAGTTTTTTTTTTTCAGATTTCTTTTTTCGTGGAGGGTCTAGCATCTCTGCAAGTACATTTTGTCAATTCTCAGTACCATAAGATGGGCAAAAAGAGTAAATCAAAACCTCCCACAGAGATGCAAGATAATATAGCTGTTGGTATCGGTGGCAGCCTCTTGGGTCCTCTTCAAACAGGTTTAGAAGATTCTTTCCATGCATATATTTTGCAGTCTTGTTTACTATGTAGTGTGAGTTTCCTTGTGAAAATGATTAAGCTTTCTTTGGAATAAACTTCGGGTAGTGTTCACTGGTTTGATTACATTTTGCAGATCCAGAGGCTATCGAAACAGCAAGGGGAAGGCAACTGCATTTGTAAGTACTTACGTATCAATTTTTAAGTGCTTATGCTTTCAAATTTTCTTTATGTTTATTTTTGAAAGCAATCCGTATTCTGTGTTGTGGTTGGAGTTGTGGTGTTTAACACAGCCCATATTCAGGGACTATGTTAGATGCATTCTGTGTGTAAATATTTGGTTCTAGTCTTGGTAGTTGGGTTAAAGAATTATATGCGTATTTTTATCAGAGGATGGATGATTCTGGGTGGGGGTTGCCTGTTCTGCAGCGAGGGCATTGTCGAAGTCGGTTCCAGGTTTTGGCTCTATAAGGTTTCCCATTTGCACATGGCGGAACTGGTATATGCCGTCGACGTACGGCAGTGGTTGTTGCAAACTGTAACTGAGCGACTATACTCTTAACCAATCAGCTATACGTTTATATATATATATATATATCTGTCTCTCTCTCTGTTACCTTTTCTTGATAGACATTAGGATTTCTTTGGTGAAACCACGTTGCTGTGGTTTTTGTATACGGGGCATGGATTGTGATGTAGATATGAGCTGTGATATCTTTTCAGATTTACATTAATTTCAGGATCAACGTGATTATCTTATTTCAACTCCCATGCCAGATGGAAATCTTTGCTACAATGATCTGTTAGATGCAACTGTGCTGGTATTATTATCTCTTTACTCACATCTTGTGTTGTTTCATCAAGCTTAACTTCTTGTTATTATATATCCCTTGATGTTAACCCTTATGAAATTTGGTGTCAATGTTTGCACTTGACAGCTTTTCCAGAAGTCGTATCCAAATGAAGAATTCTTTTCCGAAACACCCTCACCTCAGAATTTGGAGGATGACGTTCCGATTAATCTAGAGGACTAATAGTATAAGGCCATTACCCGAGTCTCTATTGTCCCCCTTGGATATTCAATAATACATCCGTGTTCTGTACACGTCTTAAAGATTTGGTAAAGTTCACTTTTTGTAAAAGGCAAACATGCAATACGCGTATTATACATGTACGTACATATTTTTCATGTTTAATACATGTATTTTTTATATAAAATTTTCAATAATACACACAACTTCACGTATTATACATATAATTCTCACATATTATTGAATAAACATAATATATATTAAACAATTTACATGAATTATATATATATATATATGTATATATATTTTTTAATTAAATAATATAGCCGCGAGTCTATACCTTCTAAATATGTATTTAAAGAGTATCGCCGTGCGGCTATGCTATGGTTTTTGACATGTGGACGCCTAGCCATTAGACGGGTCCTCTTTTTTCATATTTTTTTACTTTATTAATAGTATTTCCATGCGGCTATATACGGTTTTATAATTTTTTTTTGATTTCATGTAACTTTTCGAGATCTAGAACGTCCCAAGTCGCTGGAAGCGGCTTGAGTTCTCCAGACCCCCAAAAAACGCTGTTTTCTGCTGTAAAACTGGATTACATCTTCCCAATGTAACAGCAGAGACATTTTTTCCTTACATTTTCTTAATGTCATGCAATCAAAACTTCAATTTTGAACATAGGAGACAGTAAGTGATGGGGAGACATATTGTTCAAGTACATAGGAGACAGTAGCAATATAGAATGGAGAGTGTTGTTCAAGTACATATAAGGAGCAACAATATTGAAATGTTTCATATTAGATGGGCTAATTTTTGTTTTAATTATTAACTTCAGGGTCTAGGGTTCAAGTCACTAAAAGGTCTAGGGTACATATAACGAGCAACAATACTGAAGAAGTTGCCAACTGAGTTGAATTTGGTCTAAATCGAACATCAGTAATTATCAAGGAGTGCCCCTCTTGTGTGCTTTCAGTTTGCAGTGCTTCCATATTCCAGACAACAACCTACTGACATGAAAAAACGAAAGAAAATCATTCACATCATTCCTTTTCTCATTAATCAATTGAAGTCACTAATTTGTTATCAGATAACAAGTACCTAAACCCAATCCGTAAATCAATTACTTAGCTTACAACAAGACTTGAACCTGGGCTCTTCGGTTCGGTTTCAATTCGAAAGGAAAGTGAGGAGAAATCTAATAGGAAAGAATTATAAAGCATGTCATTCTTTACCACTCCACTGGAATTAAGATCCTGTGGCCATTTCCGGAGAAAATGAATGCCATTTGATGCTAACACCAAAATGGCATCACCTCCATTTGTGTATAACAGCCTTGATATATTGAGAAGTGTGGAATGATTGTGGATTAAGTCCTTACAACTACTTATGACTATGCCTGGAGGGTAGACTGTGCATGCTGAAGTGTGGAAATTTTAAACTGTGTTTTTGACAGGTTGAAAAATTTGGTTAAGTCCGTTTTTCAAGGGAGACTCTGCCGAAATTTCGGTACAAGTCTCGGCCTTCTTTTCCTTTGTTTTAGGGGAAGAGGACATTTGAAATCATTAAGTGGGTCCGGTATCGGTTGGATGTCGAAAATACCATAGGATCCGTCACGGATTCCCAGGAATTCGGGGCGAGTCCTGTCATTTTATTTGTATTGTTATAGCTTGGTTTTTTCAAGCTTTATCTTTTAATTATTATTTTAAGTTTGAAATCCTAGTTGGGATGCATACGCCAGAGTTTCTTCGATACTGCGTGCTCGTTAGTGGAGGCGCACCAAATTGTCTTAATTTTGATGTTTGGTAAAGTATTGGCTTTTCACTCGATAACTTACCGGTAAGTTGTAGTCTTTTCACTGCATCATTTACATGTCGATTAAATATCGGCTTTTCACGCAATAACTTACCGGTAAGTTATAGGCTTTTCGCTCAATCATTTACCTGACGATTAAATATTGGCTTTTCACGCCATAACTTACCGGTAAGTTATAGGCTTTTCACTCCATCACTTACATGATGGTTAAATATTGGCTTTTCACGCTATAACTTACCGGTAAGTTATTGGCTTTTTGCTCTATCACTTACATATTGAGCGTAAAATTATCACACATGCATGCGCACTGATTTGATTGAAGTTGCCATTGTTTTTCGATCAATTTTAACATGCAAATACTAGTCATAACTCTAGGGGTTATTTTTTGTTATTTCAATCCCTAGTATGGACATGAATATATTAAATTAACAAAGACATAACTATTTTCGGTAGAAAGGTTAAAGAGCGTGCTGTTGAAATTGCCAAGGCCATAGATGACGAAGATGGGTTGATAGGAGCATTGAATGCCTTTCATAGGCACTTTCCTCACAGTAAATCTGAGGATAAACCCGAGTCATTGCCTGCTAGAAGTGGCTTATTTTCCATCAGTAGGTGTTTTGGCTATTCCCATTTCAGTACACATCCCACGGCCTCTCCTCCACATTTGTAAGTTGGAGCAGTTTCTCTCTGTAATGAGGCTGACTTGAGTACCCTATAACAGTAAGAAAAGAAAAGAATACCCACAGATTCTCTTGTAATGACTGCAAAAAGATTCAGTCACGAATTTAAAATTTTTTTGTCACGCATTTAACTTGTTCTGTATTCAGTCAGGTTCAAGATTATTTGGTTTTATTGGTGCTGGTGCCACACTTGGCCAGCTTTTTGGGCCATTGTTTACCATGTATGTTTGCTTATTCAGTCCCTTGGAATTTGATATTTGTTGTGTGTGTGTGTGTGTGTGTGTGTGGTGTTTGTTGTTCTTAGGATGAGCTTTTGTTATATAGTTGTTGTTTTGTCTAGTTTTTAAAGTAATTAACATGAGATATGCTGTGCAGAATGTTTGCTTATGCTTACTGAAAGTGTATACTGCCTAGCTTGTTGCATGTTTGCAGCTGTTTTTAAGTTGATCACCTGTCAGCTTTCCTGCTGAAGGCAATTTATGGGTCCTATTAGTAAAGAAAGAAAGCTAGTCTCATGCCAGGGATATGTTTCTATTTCTAGGCATCTTAAGAAATATTAAATATAATTGAAGCAAATCAGGGAGCATTTTTACAGAAGTAGAAACTATAAAATAATGAAAGCAGAAGTCAAAAGAGTCAGGTCCTTGTGTCAAATGAAGAAGTTGCCAACTGAGTTGAAATCAAACATCAGTAATTATAAAGGAGTGCCCCTCTGGTGTGCTTTCAGTTTGCAGTGCTTCCATATTCCAGACAACAACCTACTGACATGAAAAAACGAAAGAAAATCATTCACATCATTCCTTTTCTCATTAATCAATCGAAGTCACTAATTTGTTATCAGATAACAAGTACCCAAACCCAATCCGTAAATCAATTACTTAGCTTACAACAAGACTTGAACCTGGGCTCTTCGGTTCGGTTTCAATTCGAAAGGAAAGTGAGGAGAAATCTAATAGGAAAGAATTATAAAGCATGTCATTCTTTACCACTCCACTGGAATTAAGATCCTGTGGCCATTTCCAGAGAAAATGAATGCCATTTGATGCTAACACCAAAATGGCATCACCTCCATTTGTGTATAACAGCCTTGATATAATGAGAAGCTACCAAAACATTTTAATGCCGAAATCTGAAACTTAAATATTAGATATTCCCATGCTTATATGCTCCCAGTGCATAGGCAGAGAAAAACTATAAATCAGTCTCAGAATTGAGAGACCTCATATTGAATTATTTATTTTTCTTTTTCCGAAAGATAGAGTACCTTCAGACAGAATTGCAATTATGAAACTTAAATATAGTATAGCCGAGCGGCTATACTATTTATTTTATTTATAACAAAAAAATAAAATTTTTTTTTTTTTATTTTAAAATGGAACCGCCTAGCCCGCCCTAGGCGGCTGATTTTTCGAAAACTTGAATGGCATTCTTTTTTTTAAGATTTATTTTTTCCTGGCCGGTCTATTGCAATTATGAAACTTTAAATATAGTATAGCCGGGCGGCTATACTATATATTTATTGAAGAACCGCCTAGCCCGCCTAGGCGGCCGATTTTTCAAAAACTTGAATGGAGTTTTTTTTTCAGATTTCTTTTTTCCTGGAGGGTCTAGCATCTCGCAAATACATTTTGTCAATGCTCAGTACCATACGATGGGCAAAAACTCCCAGAGAGATGCAAGATAATCAACTCTGTTTTTAGATCCTCTTCAAACAGGTTTAGATGATTCTTTCCATTTTGTCAATTTATAACTCTATTTTGCAGTCTTGTTTGCTCTTTGGATTCGTCTTCCTTGGGATCACCAAGCGCATTTTTTATCACAGATTGGGCTTGGTCATTAGTGAAATCTGGAAAAGTTGAACAGGCTTTAGACTTTTCATGGCTGAAAGATGGTGATAATGTGAATTCAAATCCAAAGAGCATAATGGAGAGATTTTTGCTGGTTGGCATTTTGTGTGCTCATGTAATGGTGGCTTTGCGGCCTACCATTTTGGATGCACTGAAAATGTTGGAAGGAGATATTGAAGTGCCACCAATTCCAGATAGGCCAATGCCTCTTGGTCACCCTTCAGCTTATGGCAATGGCAACGGTAATACTTTCAGCATATCACCAGCTTTGAGCGGGCCAAAATTGCATAGTGGAGACATGCTCAGGTAATCAAGAAAACTTTTAATTTTATAGTTTCTACATCGCCTTGAAGAAAGCAAAGAGTGAAGATTAATGTTCATGGAAGACCCTCCGTGAATTGACTCAAGGTATGTAGTTGAGAATGCTGTAAATAGTACACATAGGTTTAGTTGGAATTCTGATTGATATTGAATAGTAATGTAAATACCTATAAGCTTTATAACTGTTGGAAATAGCAAACCGAAAAACGGGTTTGCCGTTGCTTACGAGTTTTTTTTATTTATCAATTAAGTTTTTTCTCATGTATATCATTTGTAACAGTTTTTGTATAATTGAGTTTCAAGAAATATATTCTTGTAGAAACTTTTTCTTCCATTCATCAGAGTTCTTCCTTTCAGAGACAAGTCTTTTTGCTCTCTTTGAGAAACCCTTTGAAAATTGCTTAGCAAAGCAACGAAGTGGTATCAAATCTTTGGTCCTGCTAGTAGCTCTGTCCATGTTTTTGTCATACCTCTAGTGCTGAAGAATGTAAAAAAATCCCATATATATTGAGCAACTCCACTACTAATAATAATACAAGGCATTTTGTGATAAAACATCCTGCTGGTCCGTCTCGCGTCAGCAAGGTCAGCACCAGACCCGGATCACATGTGCTTCCCAAGACGGAGCGTATATGAATGGATGAAAACAAAACGTTTCAGTAACATTTTCTATAACGTTGTAGTTTGTGACGTTTAACAGTAGTCTCTTACCTTTTGAAAATTGACAAAAACAACCTTAAAGTGATAAATTTTTTAACCAATAGCTTCTTTATTCACGAAACTATCAAATTAACTGCAATTTTTTGTGAGCCGCTAGGTGGCTAATTTTTTGCTTATATGAATGTCAAATTGATGGCATGTTGGTTATTTTTCATCCCTCTATATTGACAAGGTTAAGGGTCCGTTTGATAATCATTTTAGGGTCCTTTTTTTTATAATTATTTTAGGGTCCGGTTGATAACCATTTCAATTTTACTTTTGTGGAAAGGATATAATGAGGAGTTTTGAGTTTTCATTTTTTGTGCTAGAGTATAGAGAAAAATGAAAGTGAGAATGAGAGTGAGGAGGACGATAGGGGAATATGAGAGCGATGAGTAACAAAAGTGAAAACAAAAACTTGAAAGTAAAAACAATTTCAAACAGGTTTCAGTTTTTAGTTTTTTTTTCATTTTTGTTACTCATCCAACCCATCCTCCCCTCTCAATCTCATCTCCACTCTAATTCTCACTTCCATTCTCCCTCTTTTTCCCCTATACTCTAGCACAAAAAATGAAAATAACATATTTAAAACGTATAGCCGCCCGGCAATACCCTGTAAATAATATATTTAATTAGTACAGCCGGGCGGCTATAACCTAAATAATATATTATATGAGAAAATGGTAGATTCTTATATGAGTAATAAGTAAAAACCAAAATGGGACAATAGAGACTCGGGTAATGACCTAATAGTAATGGATAATGCTTTAAACTACTCTTATCGATAAAGGAAAATTCAGGGGAATTTTATTTTCCAACCAAAAAAAAAGAGTACAGCCGCGCGGCTATACTCCCCCTAGCCCGCAGCCGAATTTTCCGGAACTTGAATGGCGTGATTTTTTTTAGATTTCTTTTTTCCTGGCGGGTCTGGTATCTCTGCAAATACTCAAAAATGGAGATCATCCCTCCTGTTGGTGATATGAGATATGAATCATTCTTGGACAAATCAAAGCAGGACATAGAGTCTTCAGGGTTGGTGCTGGGAAGGTCATTGTTCATCAGCTCTAAGCCACTCCTTGGTTTCCATAAATTAGGGTGAACCTTGGGAGTTGCCTGCATTCAATCAATATCATCATAATCAAATGACCAATTGTCGCTTCGGTTTCAATTCGAAAGGAAAGTGAGGAGAAATCTAATAGGAAAGAATTATAAAGCATGTCATTCTTTACCACTCCACTGGAATTAAAGATCCTGTGGCCATTTCCGGAGAAAATGAATGCCATTTGATGCTAACACCAAAATGGCATCACCTCAATTTGTGTAGAACAGCCTTGATATAATGAGAAGCTACCAAAACATTTTAATGCCGAAATCTAAAACTTAAATATTAGCTATTCCCATGCTTATATGCTCCCAGAGCATAGGCAGAGAAAAACTATAAATCAGTCTCAGAATTGAGAGACCTCATATTGAATTATTTATTTTTCTTTTTCTGAAAGATAGAGTACCTTCAGACAGAATTGCAATTATGAAACTTAAATATAGTATAGCCGAGCGGCTATACTATTTATTTTATTTATAACAAACAAATAAAAAATTATTATTATTTTTTTTTAAAATGAAACCGCCTAGCCCGCTGATTTTTCGAAAACTTGAATGGCATTCTTTTTTTTAAGATTTATTTTTTCCTGGCCGGTCTATTGCAATTATGAAACTTAAATATAGTATAGCCGGACGGCTATACTATTTATTTATTAAAGAACCGCCTAGCCCGCCTAGGCGGCCGATTTGTCAAAAACTTGAATGGAGTTTTTTTTTTTCAGATTTCTTTTTTCGTGGAGGGTCTAGCATCTCTGCAAGTACATTTTGTCAATTCTCAGTACCATAAGATGGGCAAAAAGAGTAAATCAAAACCTCCCACAGAGATGCAAGATAATATAGCTGTTGGTATCGGTGGCAGCCTCTTGGGTCCTCTTCAAACAGGTTTAGAAGATTCTTTCCATGCATATATTTTGCAGTCTTGTTTACTATGTAGTGTGAGTTTCCTTGTGAAAATGATTAAGCTTTCTTTGGAATAAACTTCGGGTAGTGTTCACTGGTTTGATTACATTTTGCAGATCCAGAGGCTATCGAAACAGCAAGGGGAAGGCAACTGCATTTGTAAGTACTTACGTATCAATTTTTAAGTGCTTATGCTTTCAAATTTTCTTTATGTTTATTTTTGAAAGCAATCCGTATTCTGTGTTGTGGTTGGAGTTGTGGTGTTTAACACAGCCCATATTCAGGGACTATGTTAGATGCATTCTGTGTGTAAATATTTGGTTCTAGTCTTGGTAGTTGGGTTAAAGAATTATATGCGTATTTTTATCAGAGGATGGATGATTCTGGGTGGGGGTTGCCTGTTCTGCAGCGAGGGCATTGTCGAAGTCGGTTCCAGGTTTTGGCTCTATAAGGTTTCCCATTTGCACATGGCGGAACTGGTATATGCCGTCGACGTACGGCAGTGGTTGTTGCAAACTGTAACTGAGCGACTATACTCTTAACCAATCAGCTATACGTTTATATATATATATATATATATATCTGTCTCTCTCTCTGTTACCTTTTCTTGATAGACATTAGGATTTCTTTGGTGAAACCACGTTGCTGTGGTTTTTGTATACGGGGCATGGATTGTGATGTAGATATGAGCTGTGATATCTTTTCAGATTTACATTAATTTCAGGATCAACGTGATTATCTTATTTCAACTCCCATGCCAGATGGAAATCTTTGCTACAATGATCTGTTAGATGCAACTGTGCTGGTATTATTATCTCTTTACTCACATCTTGTGTTGTTTCATCAAGCTTAACTTCTTGTTATTATATATCCCTTGATGTTAACCCTTATGAAATTTGGTGTCAATGTTTGCACTTGACAGCTTTTCCAGAAGTCGTATCCAAATGAAGAATTCTTTTCCGAGACACCCTCACCTCAGAATTTGGAGGATGACGTTCCGATTAATCTAGAGGACTAATAGTATAAGGCCATTACCCGAGTCTCTATTGTCCCCCTTGGATATTCAATAATTGTCCCCGTCTTATCAATAGTATAAGTTACACTTTTTTAAAAGGCAAACATGCAATACGCGTATTATACATGTACGTACATATTTTTCATGTTTAATACATGTATTTTTTATATAAAATTTTCAATAATACACACAGCTTCACGTATTATACATATAATTCTCACATATTATTGAATAAACATAATATATATTAAACAATTTACATGAATTATATATATATATATATATTTTAATTAAATAATATAGCCGCGAGTCTATACCTTCTAAATATGTATTTAAAGAGTATCGCCGTGCGGCTATGCTATGGTTTTTGACATGTGGGCGCCTAGCCATTAGACGGGTCCTCTTTTTTCATATTTTTTTACTTTATTAATAGTATTTCCATGCGGCTATATACGGTTTTATAATTTTTTTTTGATTTCATGTAACTTTTCGAGATCTAGAACGTCCCAAGTCGCTGGAAGCGGCTTGAGTTCTCCAGACCCCCAAAAAACGCTGTTTTCTGCTGTAAAACTGGATTACATCTTCCCAATGTAACAGCAGAGACATTTTTTCCTTACATTTTCTTAATGTCATGCAATCAAAACTTCAATTTTGAACATAGGAGACAGTAAGTGATGGGGAGACATATTGTTCAAGTACATAGGAGACAGTAGCAATATAGAATGGAGAGTGTTGTTCAAGTACATATAAGGAGCAACAATATTGAAATGTTTCATATTAGATGGGCTAATTTTTGTTTTAATTATTAACTTCAGGGTCTAGGGTTCAAGTCACTAAAAGGTCTAGGGTACATATAACGAGCAACAATACTGAAGAAGTTGCCAACTGAGTTGAATTTGGTCTAAATCGAACATCAGTAATTATCAAGGAGTGCCCCTCTTGTGTGCTTTCAGTTTGCAGTGCTTCCATATTCCAGACAACAACCTACTGACATGAAAAAACGAAAGAAAATCATTCACATCATTCCTTTTCTCATTAATCAATTGAAGTCACTAATTTGTTATCAGATAACAAGTACCTAAACCCAATCCGTAAATCAATTACTTAGCTTACAACAAGACTTGAACCTGGGCTCTTCGGTTCGGTTTCAATTCGAAAGGAAAGTGAGGAGAAATCTAATAGGAAAGAATTATAAAGCATGTCATTCTTTACCACTCCACTGGAATTAAGATCCTGTGGCCATTTCCGGAGAAAATGAATGCCATTTGATGCTAACACCAAAATGGCATCACCTCCATTTGTGTATAACAGCCTTGATATAATGAGAAGCTACCAAAA